TTTCTCAAATATTGTAACTAAAAATATTTTCAAATTTATGTGATGTGCATTTCTTGTTATTTTGACAAGAATATGATTCAATTTTTTAATGGGTGTGAACTGTTAGCTCTGAAAATACTCCATTGAATCATGAAAATATCAGGCACTTTCTAGCAGGGGCAACTCCTGGTGCAGGGATATCGAGCCCAGTTTTAGACTGGCAAAAATGTATTTTTTTAAACAATAAATTCAGGAATCTTCGCCTCGTAAAGCAGCTTGGTTGGCGAATTTTATTGACGGGTAGGCGTTAAAAGAGGTCATTTACCCTCGGATTCAATTCTGAGAAACAAGCTTTGTCACTGTTGTCCAACACCTTTCTATACCTCAGTTGCAGGCTATAATCCCTCCAAAAAAACAAAAAACAATAATTAAATTGGTCATTTTCAATCTACGACTGTTTGTGGGACATTGCTGTGCGCAATTGGCTGCCGCGTTCGCCCACAAATATACAGTCAATTCACTTTACAGTGTGTTCTGTGAAGCGCTTTGGGACGTCCTCCTGACGTGAAAAGCGCTATATCAAATGCAAGGATTATTATTATTATTATTATTGTATGGTACAGAGCAATGGTTATAAAAGCTTCTGTTTTGTTTCTGTGTTGAGTAATGAAGCTAAAAGTTGGTACCACTGTGTGACTCATTGGTGGAAATAAGTGGTACTTGGGGCTGACGCTGGCCTATACTGTCTGTTATTAATTGGCAGACAGAATCTGGGGAGGTAGAAATGGAGTCAAGCCCATGCATGAACAATGTTCAAGAATATGGAAGCTTCCCTCATGTCCTTATTTCACTGGTTACTTCATTGCAAATCTAGATGTCATTCTGACATCATCGTTCCCATCTGTAGGCAAACTAATCTCTTTTTCTCCTCTCCCCCGGCCCCCCTGCCACGAGTCATTAAAGATCTCTATGCTGCAGCTGTATCGTCACTCAAATCCTTATCCAGTCATCTCATCAATATTTCATGCATCAGGAATGCTGAACATTGGGTTTCTTTGTTGCTTTTGTAAACACTGCAGATATGTAACTCGATATATTAGGTGCACGTTAAATTAAAAAACATTAAAGAAATAGAGGGCTGAAGATCATTCTTTCTACAAATGATATTCAGCAAGCAGGTAGCATACATTCTTTCTTGGAGCAATTACGTGTAATGGAGTCCTGTAGCTTAGTGGTTAGAGTACTCGCCTCGCAAGCGAAAAGACCTGGGTTCGATTCCCAGGCAGGGCGGAAGGCTAGGCAAGTTTCCTTACTCCACACGCCTCTGTTTACCTTGCAGTAAGTAGGAATCCGGGTGTCAGTCAATTGGTGGATCGCTTTTCTGGGGGTAATAATCTGTTTAAAAAAAATAATAATTTGGTCACTCAATCCACGTCTGTTTGGGGGACACTCCTCTGTGGAATTGGCTGCCGCGTTTCGCCCACAAAATATACAACAACAAAATTACATTTGTATTGCGCTTTTCACATCGGGAGGATGTCCCAAGGTGCTGGACAATCAGTGTTTCGGACCCGAGCTGGAGGTCGGGATCAAGGAGAGTGGAGGGCAGTGGGGGAGGAGGGTGATGGAAGGCACGGTTGAAGAGGAGGGTCTTGAGGAGGCAAGGGAGGGGGGCACTGATGTGGGGTAGAAAGGATAGTTGAGGGTCAAAGAAGATGCCAAGGTTCCGGACTGGCTTAGTAAGGTGGAGTGTGCATCCTTGGATAGTGATGCTGTCAGCGCCTGAGGTGTGGAATACAGGCTGAGGAGTTCTGGATAATCTGGAGCGTGTGGAGAGTTGAGCTGGAAAAGTTGGCGCCTGGAGGTGACCGAGGCCAAGGTTAAGGATTGGGCGGCACTCAGGATCAGGTAGGGGGCTGTGGAGATGGAGATCGGTGGGTGTGATCAAGGACCACTCGAAGGGCTGAAAGGACGGCTGAGGGTCGAAAAGATTCAGGTTGCCCACAGGCTCCGCGAGCTAAGGTGAGCAGCTAAGGAGGTGAATGAGACATAGGCTCTGGTTGAGAGCCTAACAGAATGACTTTGTTTGTTTCAAGATTCAATTGGAAGAAGTTGAAGCTCATCCAGGACTTGATGACTGACAGTCAGACGGTCAGAGCAACAGTAGTATTGTAGTACTGATTCAGGCCATACTGAATCAGTAAAAACTTGGAAAATTATGAATAATGTCCATCTAATCATTATTGAGCCATCTCATGCTGTTAGCATTAAACTTGTGGGTACAATATGTCATGGTTTCTGTCAGGTTTCTACCACATCCTTGAAATAGATTTTCTTGTTTTTCTGATGCTGCACATGCAATTATTTTGTTGTGACTTCATTCCTTACATCCAGTAATAGCGTAAGATTCCACGGTCAAGTTTTGCCTCTAATCTCTTTCTCCCAGCCCCATCCCTGTTTTTTATATAAAGAGAATTTTCAACTTCCCCAAATGACTCAAATTGGTAAAATCATTGTTTTCAATGAAAAAAACAGCAAAGTCGACACAGGAGGTTGTAGGTTCGTTCCTTGGTCAGTGCTGAGTTAGCAGTTTGGGGGACAGCAGGCGTTGTGCTGCAATTTGCTGTAGCCCCTCTGGGCTTATGAGGGAAGAAATTTTCCAACCGGATTCTTGTTAGAAAATGCTCATGTTTGGATGTTAAAAGAAGAGGTCAGGATTGGATTTAGCTTATTGCGTTCACTGTTGAACGGCCTGCTGGCACCCACTTTCTGGCTGAGGTACTGGACACAGTGAAGCTGTGCCCACAGGAAGACTTGGAGGAGACCATCTGTTAGTCTACTTTGTATAACCTTTTTTCCAGCATAAATTTCATAACTCTCTGGTAAAGGACATACTAATCCATTTTCATTCCTTGTCATCTATTTGTCTATTTAGTGCAGTTCTAGTCTCTCCTATGAGCTGGTATAATAAATCTCTTGTACATCTCGTGTGTGACAGAGATATTTGTAAACCCTGCACGTTATAAATATTGATATAATTACTGATGGGGCTAGATATTGACTACAATTTGTTATTAATTCCATAGTCTTTAATTCCATAATTCAATTGTGTGAACTGCTTTCCTACCATTTTGTTCAATGCTCCAAATCTGTCTTGCATTTTATGACTTATAGAACTGGCCAGCCAAAGTTTCCATCAGCACTTACAGTATTCTATCAAAAACTTTCTTTGAATGTGCGCCTCTACCGCAATACATTGTCTGAAAGCGCAATTCAGTAAGCCATAAAATATGGAATATAAGCTTTGTGAGCAATAGCTTATATAGCTTGTGTGTGTGTCACAGTCATGTAACTTGCAAGATAAAGCACTTATTTAGCACTTTGCTGCTGCATATTCTTTGAATATTGGAAATCATTTTCATAATGGCATTGACAAAACCACTTATTCCATCAGCACATTTGTAGTTTCATTTGTTTTCTAGGTATTGCTGTATTTCACAAGTACTCAGCATTCAATAATTTAGTGTAATGTTGACTTTTTATTTGCCAATTTAATTTTGTTGCTTGATATATATATATGGTTCATAACAAATACAGTTTTAAAATTTTTCGAGCAGAATGTTCTTTTTCTCCTATTTTCCGGAAAGTGCAGCCTCTCTGAGGATGTATTTCCATGCGCACCTGATCCAAATAACCCTTTTCTACACATGTGCGGTGATAATGGTTAAGTTTTAACTCGTCTGTTTGGCTATGGCGGCATTGCAGCTGAGCCTGATCCTTGTACATTTTGTAATATTTGGAGATTTCCAACTAATTCTTCTAGCTAGAAATAGTCCACACTGAAAATTCTCCTAACCCCATCATGTGAATGCCAGACACTATTCACACTGCAACAGCAGCTATGTTCAGTCCACCATAAATCTTTGCGATTCAGATGCCTCTTAAGTCCCAACCTGTGTGGAGATGATCCAGAATAAATCTACCAATTTTTCTAATTGGCAACAAAACTTGCTCAACCATTTTGCACAATTAAGTTTCTGAGCAAACCCCATACTCTCTCACTGAAAAAAACAGAATGCCTCTCAACTCTGTGGAGATACTACTTCAGTGAGCGAATAGTAAACGTATGAAAGAGGCTTCCAACTTGATATGACCAACTGTGATGATACTGTACACCCCAGCTTTACCTCGTAGTCAGGTAATTCATTCAAGTCCCTGAATGCATCTTGGATGAAATGTTAAACAGGCCCAGTTTGCCTGTCAGGTAAACGTTAAAGATCCCATAGCACTATTATTAGCACATGGCAAAGAGAAGGGAGTTTCTTCTCGTGTCCTTCAGATAAATTGTTTTTGTCTTGCCTAGTAATCCTAGTATTTGTGATAATAATCCTTGTATTAATCCTTCTTAGCTGTTTGTAGGAGTGATCTGCATTGTTGTGGACCTGATAATTATATGTTAGCCACCTGTCTGTGTTTGGTTACTTGCAAGATTGATATTGGAAGTTATAGAAATCAGGAAAATGTTTAATTCTCCAAATGGTGTTGAAGTTTTTTTGTATTTGATAGTTGTGAGGTTTCTTAGGTTCATGGATCAAGGATGGATTGATGGACTGGAGTATCTGTAGAACAATCATAACCTTATTTGAATCAGTCGATGTGGAAAACTTTAATTGTAGGACCTAGGTCAGGTAATGTTTTAGAAGTGAAGTACAGAATGGCCTGTGAGAACATGCCTCAGTTGACTCAGTAATACTCATCCCCAATATATGAGCTACTGCATTCATCTGCAAATATAGTCACTCCATGTCACAGTAACTCGTGTGAAGCACTTTGGGACATCCTCCTGATGTAAAAGGAGCTATGTTAAATACAAGGATTATCATGTAAGATAATTCACTGTTTACTCCACAAGTGTAACATGCAACAAGAATCAAACGTAATGGAAATGAAAATAAAATATTGTCAAATGATGTTTAAACTGTGATAGTTTACGTAACCTTCAATTGTTTTCTCTAAATTAGGAAATAAAGACTCACAGCCATTACAACCATGGCTACAGTGACTCATTGGCACGGAAAAGCCACATCGATGACTACAGCACATGGGACATTGTCAAAGCCACACAGTAAGCACAAAATATTTTCAACAACCTATTACTCTTTAACTGTATTTTGTTTGTGCTTCAATTACTAAAAGTAAAACTGGCTCTGTGCTAGAATTGGGGCGATTTAATTAAATGTGGCTGTGATCTAGCTTTTATATGGGAACGTTACATATAAATTAATCATTTAATTTACGTAACCTTCAATTTCGGATGGAATCGCACACCAAAGCTGGTTGAAAGGTAATTCATATCTTTTGTGACAGCTTCATTGCAGATTGTAGAATTGATCTCTGGTCTTTTACCGAATGCAAAGCTTAAATGATACTGAAGCAGCATGAGCTTGTAACTATGCTGCTTCTGTAGGGATTTTGACCATTTTGTTGCAAGCTGCTTTTCATACAGATAATGAAAAGCAGTGATTGGGATGGGGGATAGGAATAATGCAAAGACGTACCTTATCCATTCATATATCTGGTCTTTTCCAATCCACACTTTGTTTTGAATTGAAATATTACTTGGATAAGTTCTTGCAAGAGAAGAAATCCAGGGTCTGGGAGGAGTTTGTGACGATGTCTAAGATAAGCATGGGGCGCTTATGCCAAAAGAGGTAGAGTCATATTTACCCTTGTTCAGAGTTCATTAATTCACTTGGCTGAAACTACGCTAACTGTTCATTGTTTTCTAGTCGCTGACTTTTGTTCATCCCTATCATGAATGCTCTAGTTTGTGGTTGGGTATGGTTCTAATGGCATTGACTGCCCTTCAGTATCTAATGGCCAATTACCAAACGATCAAATCAACTTTTAAGAAGGAATTTGATAATTAGCTGAAATGGAGAACACCAAAAGGTTTTTGGGAAAAGAGACTATATGCAAAGCCCTTTCAGGAAAACCACACAGCCACGATGGGCTAAATGTCCCCTTTTTGTAACGTACATTTCTTTGGGCCTTCACATGCTGGAAGGTTCTTTGCAGTGTTGGCACTTTGCAGCAAATTCCAATCGAACCTTATACCCACACGCACAGCAGATTTCATGATATGGCGAACCTTAATCCAATGGTCCTGGGGTTTAATTGAATACCTTACCACAGCTGAGATCCACTAACCTCACACCAACCAAGGACCTTCTTCATTTGTACATCTCATCTGCTCACAAGACAAACTTATTTAATCTTCACATCAGCCTTTCAAGAAATTGTTCCCTCTCGTTATTTTTTGGTCAGCTGATTCACCTTGTTTAAGAGTCTCTGAACCAAATGACTGAGTTCCACATATGTACGGTATCAGCTTGTCTGGTGTGAAATATGTACCAGAGTGAGCAGGGCAGTACTGCTGGAGTTTAACCAGGTAAAGCCACACGTCTTACGAGAAGCAGAAGCTCCAATGGCAATAGTATAAACATTGCCTCTGCAGGCACAATCTTCCTCTGTTTCTACTCGTGCACAAAATTAATGGATAATTTTCAGGCCAGCCATGCAGAGGTCAGAGAACTCTGGTGTACAGGATAAAGGCAGAGTTGTTGGTACCTCTTGGTGCAGCAATAGGAATGTGAATAGTACATCTGTTTAAAATTAATCTATAACACACAAATACAGCTTTTTTTTGGTCAGTTGGTATCTGATTCAACTGGAGACCCATGACCTTGCTTAAGAGTCTCTGAACCAAATGACTGAGTTCCACATATCTATGTTTTCAGCTTGTCTGGCATGGAATATGTACCAGATTGTGCATTGCAGTACTGCTGGAGTTCACAACAACAAATTACATTACATTTGTCTAGTGCCTTTCATGTCAGGTGGATGTCCCTAATGCGTTTAACTAGCTATTCTCCCTCAATCCCTCCACCTTGCCCTATCGCTCTCCTTTTTCAAGTCCCACCTCAAAACCTTTCTCTTCGAACATGCTTATGGTCCCTCCAACCCAACCGGGCTCGGAGTCAGGCAAGTTGTGGTTGTTGTATCTTACCATTGCAGACAATGATAAGCCTCTTGCTGCATAAACTAATAAATTAAATGCAGCAAAAGATAACAAACTCGTGAAAAACAATAGGAGCAAATGTAGATAATTTGTTGCCTATTTGGGGGAAATAAAACGCATCAGCAGCAGGATTGAAATCCAAGTGCGTAAATGGAGAATTGTTATGCAAGTAGCAGTATTGTACTATTCATACCCAAACAAAGCATGTATTTGTATAAACTGTTAAAGCCTTTGAAATTCACATTCACTACACTTTATTGCCTATTCTATAAATCGCTTTGGGATGTCCTCCCGACGTGAAAGGCACTATATCAAATGTAATGGTTATTATTATATTGCATATATTTTAGATAAGGAAATAACTTTTTACTTTTCAATTGCAGTGCTTATAAAGTTGTATACAGAGCGCAGCAAAGGAATTATTGGTGCCATTCAATTTAAAAAAACACGTAACAAAACCATATACAACATTTGTGCAGAAGTGAAGAAGACAAGTACTTTGTGGGTGAATGTTATTTTTCTTGTTTTCCCAGGTATGGAATATTTGACCGCTGTCGAGAGCTTGTGGAGGCAGGTTATGATGTACGACAGCCTGACAAAGAAAATGTCACCCTTCTTCATTGGGCAGCTATCAATAATAGAATTGACCTGAGCAGGTGCGTCTCAGATATGTGTAGTTTTAAACAAAATCACTAACAAATTGTGAATTGGTACATAAACATTCCATATGAAAGAATCCTGCTCAACGTGCCACAAATTGGACCTAATTATTTCCAGTAATCCTTTCACTGTCAACAGAAGGGGAGACAGTGTTTTATTATGGAAATTTATGACATACAGATAGAGCCAGGGACTAATCATTAAATTGGCGATTTATTTCACAGATACTACATATCAAAGGGAGCAATTGTGGATCAGCTTGGAGGAGACCTGAATTCCACACCTCTTCACTGGGCAACAAGGTAGGATAATGTCACTTTTTATTTCTTCTCAAGACCCTTTAAATTTAAGACCCAAATAATGTTGTGGACAGAAATATGTCTAACTACTTGTTTGTTATATTCTGCTTGACTGGTGATTTATTTTAAAGAAAAACATACAATGACATGCAGCAGATCTAACTATGTTTCAGAAAAACTATGTTTCAGAAATCCTGTTGTTGTGTTTTTATTGCACTTGTTAACTTGTTTTTTTTAGGAACTTGATTTAGTCTTCCGAGTGAGCTCAGGCTCTTTATGATTGAGCAAGTATTGATGAAAATGTATTTATTTACATATAGAACTTCTTACATGAAGACCACCAAAATGTGAATCTAACATATTATTGACATGATTAAAGGTAGAATAATTGGACAAATTCCATGCACTTTCGTCTTAGAAATGCTTGAAATGTTTGTAGTTATCGCTTTGTGTGTTAAATATTTTTTTTCTGTGTCAATCATTCCAGGCAGGGCCATTTGTCCATGGTTGCGCACCTGATGAAATATGGTGCAGATCCCTCATTGATAGATGGCGAAGGATGTAGTTGTATTCACCTGGCTGCGCAGTTTGGTCACACTTCTATTGTTGCCTATCTGATAGCAAAAGGGCAGGTAATTTTCATATCTGTTTTATTTTTATACAGTACTTCAGCATAAACAGTGTAACGTAGCAATCTTCAGATTACACAAATTACTTGCTGCATGGTAGTTCAGCCACATGGTACACAGCCACTCTATAGTAGATCCTGTGAATTGTTTTGAAACTATCCTCCTGATGTGAAAACACAATTCCAAATGAAAGGATTACTTTTTTTTATTATTCTCCATGTTCCATAAGTGATTTTCAATCCAGATTCTTTCGCTTAATTCTCTTTCCCTTTGGCCCACCAAGTAAAGCTGACTCAACTATTGTTGCAATTCTAGTGGTGAAATCACTACAAGGATGCCTTTCGGCATGTCCATCCCATAGTACCATACAACTTGTGTGACCTCGAGATGCTGGGAGTTAGAGGATAGGAAGAGATCAGCAGTGTAGTATAGATAATGAGTTGCCCTCCAAAATAGCTTTAACTAAATCAAAAATCTTATTTTCTCCGCCAAACTATACACTGTGTGTGCCTGAGACACTGGTTGACCTGCTGCTAAATCTCCACCAGTAGTGATTAGACAGCTGCTATAAGAGGCATGACAGTGACCCAGGGATTACAAGCTAAAATTTGGAAATAAAACTATACACACCCACTCTAGTGCATTGAATGTTAACACTACTGATGTCTATACTAAAATCTATTTTATCCCCCTTCAATGTTTTTTTATTTTGAAGAAAATGTCCTTGATGCAATTTTGAATATGCTGAGGTCTGAGATCAGATGGTGGTATACTGTGATAGGTTAGAAATTATTTATCATCGCTGAACATTGCTAAATGTTAATATTTGCAGTTTAACTATTATATAAATTTGTTGAAATCCAGGTTGCTTTTAGTTGCTTGATCCTGCAAAACACTCATCAGATTATATCAGCAAGACTTTGGAAAAGCAGATTGAATTAATGGCAGATACAGGTTGAAATCCCTTTTTGGCAATATTCACTGCTTTCAGATTATAGAGAACAAAATTCTGTTAGCGCTGATATTTGGAATCAAAATAGAAAAGGGGAATTTGAGAGTAAATTAAACATTTGTTGCAAAATAAATGTCAAAAAAACAATGGTCCGGTGCTAGTTCTGAAAATAATAAAGATAATATCAGTACAACTGGTTTGTTTACTGGCTTGGCCAGGACTGTGTTGTTCCTAATACAGGGAACACTGCATTGGAGAAAATGTATATAATCAGTTTTCAGAATCAGCCAATCTGATTTTTGCTAGCTATTCAAGTAAAAACTTATTGTATACATCTACTGAAATGTGACTGAGTGTTGGAACACAAATTGATGGAATTTGATTTGTGATTGGTCAAAGCTAGCTTCCAGTCATGGGATAGGATATGAAGATTGACCTGGATCTTGCCTTAGGACATTTTAATGTGACTAACATTGTTGTTAATCGCTAGGGTCTTAATGATACTGTTGTGTCTGTTAATATTAATGTGGATTAAGTAATCAGGTTACCATGCTTTTTTTTCTGCAAAATTATGAATGAATTAAAAATGCATTGTAAGCCAGTTGTAACATTACCAATTTGTACTGTCTGCAAACAGCTGGATTATCGGCAAGTGCTTGCTGGGGGTCTGTTGAACCTGTTAGGTTTCTCAACAGTGACAGCTTCAGGCATTTCAGTCTTGTGTTGCAGTAAAATTGTACACAGAGCGGCATACGTTTTAAATCATAGAATTATGCAGCACAGAAGGAGGTCATTCGGCCCGTCGTGTGTCTGTGCTGCTGAAATGTTTTCAAGCAAACAAGCTGCCTTTGATGAAGGCAAACTGTAATATTTTTAAATAATGAAAGAAAAGTTTTTTTTAAGTATCCAGTATTTCATGAAGTGGATATTTTCACTTTATAATACACAGTCCAGGTGAGGACTCCCTGGCACGTTCATGAACGTCCAACAGTTGGGTGATAATCTAATTTTACAATGAGTGCTTTATAAATGTACCCTCGGTGGCTAACAGTGAGTGGCTGCATTTCAACCTGGAGGATGTATCGGATATCCTGACCATTGTTTTTTTTTCAATGTTACCTCCCCTCAAAAAGACGATAACAGCAAAAGCATCGGTATCCCCCGAACCGTAGGGCAACCACAAGTAAACAAGCACCCACAAAAAGGCAAAGATTGTTGACACTATCGCTAACTAGGCACATGGACAGCAAAAGAAATCTGCAAGCAGATAGTTGGAGTGTCTGTAAGGAGGGCAGTGTGAGATGCTGAGAAGAGTAAACAAGTCCTGACGTGGAGGAGCAACAAGAAAGGGAATGGGAAAGAGGTGAAAAAATAAGCAGCAACTAATATAAACTCTCAACTATCATAAAATAAAATGTGAACGAGACAAGATTGGCAACAGGATTTAAGAAAAAAAGATTTACAACCTGAAAAATGAGTTGAACGTGTTTCATATTTGATTTATTTTGCGTGTCAAGACTTTGAGACATGTATTAAAGCCTGTAGAGGAAACACTTTTTGTTTTTATTTTATTTTATTTTAAAAAGGGTAAAGAATGTGGTTACCTTTAAAAATGCAATAAATTGCAGTTCCTTGTTTTCAGTTCTGTTCATTCCATTGCCTTAATTTACAATTTTAGAGAAATGTTTGCTGTACTCATACTTTCAGTCAAGTGGATGCGCAGATGACCTTATCCCAGTGATCTGCTCCTCCTTCTCTTGAACAAGGAAGTAAGGAGTGTATTGTTGCTGGTGGAATACTTACTTTATATTAAAAGAGAAAAACCTTATGAAACATAAACCAGAGTGTAATTCACACGTTTTAATTGATAAACATTTCAAGTAAGTTTTAATGAAAGTTTGAAAGTTTCTATGATTGATTTTGCAAAGTACTCAACATAGTAGCAAATCAGTGCTGTGTGACACACTGCCACTGTTGGAAGCTATAGTTATTTACACAAACAATTTTCTTCATCGCAACACTTTTTTGGCAATATAAAATAAGTAGTGTGTCAAACAGATGATAGTGGGGAAAGGTGAGGCAATCACTAGGACACTATCCCCTTAATAGTTAGACATCATGCAGGATACATTTCAGTAGAATGGGTCCTTGTCCTTGCTGAATATCTCTGTTCAATTCAAGGGCTTTCAGAAATTTGTAGGAAGGTGAGGAGAAGCAGAACCATTTTAATGCAAGGATTTTATTTATTTATGATCCAAAACATATTTCCTAGATGGATATACTGTAATATCCAATCCATACCCACCACCCCCAATTCAAGCCATCCTAGATTGCTAGAAGTATGATCTTGGGATTTATAGACCCAATAGCTATGGCAGGAAAAACAAAGGAGTCTAATTGTAAAGGAAAGCTTGTAATTACAGTATTTACTCATTCTTTATGAATAAATACTGTAATTACAAGCTTGTAAAGGTTTATGAAAAAAGGATTTACCTCTCAATAACCTCTGCTGTTCATAGTTCCAGCGCCTTGGGACGTCTTCCTGATACACTTATTACCTACATGCCACTAAACCAACAATCCCCCAAATAAAATTGGTTATCACTCTGTAACTATTTGTGGGACATTGCTGATATTTTATAAATCATTCTAAACTTTAGTGGAGAATAATTCAATAGTTGAATTATTGTCATAATACTTAGGAAAAGATATTTAAGGAGTGGACAAATATTGTAGAAGTGCAGCCAAGATGACTATAGGATTTAGAGAATAGATCATTGAATCATAAAGGGGATATGATCGAACTTTAATTAATGAAGTGTAACCCAATGGATGTGAAAGAAGGGCTGGATAAAGCTGAAAGCTGAACCTACTTGCTTATTCATCAACTTACTGAATGCACTGCCACCTTCTGACTCAGCTTGGAATTCAGAATGGAATTGGAATAATTCTTGAATACAGCAAAACAAAAATTGAAATAAGAAAATTATTTCAATGAACAGCTTTGGATTATGCGTTTGGTTGTCTCCTTCTGCATTGAAACTAGTTGATTGCCCTTCATAAGAAGCATTGGTTGATGTGAGTTCAGTGTTAGTTCTACAGAGCGTTAACTGAGTAATTAGCAATAACAAAATGCTCATAAAAATATTTGGATGGTGTTTGCTCAATATTTATCCTGGCTATTTATTTCAGGATGTAGATATGATGGATCAGAATGGAATGACACCATTGATGTGGGCAGCATATAGAACACACAGGTAAGTTTGAATTTGTTTATTTTAATCACTCTATTGTACTAATATATATGTATGTAAGCTGTTCCAGCATTATTTGTTCCTTTTTTACACCACCTCCCATTTTCCAGGTTTAAATTCAGCGTCTCAGCATTCATCCCTACTTAGGAGCAGTGTTCCCAGTGTTTCTAACATGGGAATAGCAGATATTGAACTGGGTTTTAATATTTTGTGCAGTAGTCAGCAGTGCACTGTTCCATCAGGGCTGCGTCTTTCTTCGTTATAGATAAGGCTTCTTAGAGCTTAATCTTTAATATGATTTGTTTTGGTTGGTCAGTGTTTGTTACATGCAGAACCTTTCACAATACTTCAAAGTATCCACAAATGATTAAGCACAGCTGGGCGAGAGCCATGTTGCAGGGACCCAGAATAAGATTATGGGAATTGCTGGAGTTTAACCAACTAAAACTGCACAGGTTGCCATTGTGAGTCTCGTCTGGCAAGCTTCCCATTGCTTGTTCAGTTACCTATTAGGGCTTTGGCTAGAAGGGTGAACAGGATCCAGGCTGGAAGAATCTACCCATTCTGCTCCTCAAAAGTCCTGCCAATAAGCCAGGCCGGCAGGTTTATCATCAACATTAAAATGTTACTTTAAAGTGAAATAAGTCCAGAGGAAATGTACTTCTCACTATGGTCTTCTTTGTGAGAGAAGCAGGCGACATTGCTGAGTGGCTGAATTTACTTGACTGGTGGAGGGTGTTTTGGCTTGTGTATCAGAGCTGCCCCATTCTGAGAAGGCATGCAGAAATACCCAGACGTTACTGTGCTTTCTTCTATAATTCAGGGTGTACTTTGAACAGAACTTGGCCTATCCTTTTTCAGAACTTGGCCTGTCGTTTTGAGAACTTATCATAACGTTTTCAGAATTTGCGCAATTTGTAATGCAAAAGAAATGTTTATTGATGCTTTGAAAGCAAATGTACGTAATTTCTGCTGCATTCTGATAGTATAGTGCTAGGCAGTGGGAAGTCTGGCTTATGGATCACAATGGGGGGGGTTGTGGTCCTGGACACCTGGAAGAACTCCTCTTTTCAAATAGTGTCACGGGATCTTCAACCTCTACTTGAATACGCCATATCTCATCCAAAGGACGGCACCTCTGACAATTTAGTGCATCTCCAGCACTGCATTGGAGTTTTTTTTTGTGTTGTGTTTCAGATGATCCCCAATTTAGTGTTGATTTTAAACAGCAGCATTATCTTTGGTCTGTTTCAGCGTGGATCCCACAAGACTGCTTCTTACATTCAATGTGTCAGTGAGCCTTGGGGATAAGTACCATAAGAACACTGCATTACACTGGGCAGTGCTGGCAGGAAATACCACTGTAATAAGTCTGCTGCTGGAGTCTGGCGCGAATGTGGATGCTCAAAATATCAAGGTACAAATTGATTTACAAATGAAGGAAGCACAGATTAATGGAGAATACACAAAGTAGAAATTTCCAAGCAGAATTCAAATGGAAATTAACCTGCAGTACTTGAAGTTAAACCATACAATTCAGCAAAGTTTTATACTTGGACAATTTTCTGTCATAAGATGTTTTATTAAACATCGGAAGTGCTTACAGTTTAATTATGCTAAATTTACAAGTGTACTACATATTTTTCCATTAAAAGAATTTATGAAGAACAGTCTTGATTGGCTGTTGTCCTTCATAATAACATATTTACAAGACCATACTTCATCACAATGTGGCAGAATACAATATTGAGGTGAAGGTTCTAGATGTTTATGCATCTTCAAGCTATTATGGTATGAAGTGGTGGTTAATCTAATTGCTGGATCAAGTATAGGAGCATATTCAGTAGGACTGAATGTGTTACAGCTAAGCTCATGAATGTTTTATATTTAAATAAAGATTTAGAACAGCGGTAAATTATACCATTAAGAGTTAATTGTTCTGCTGGTTCCAAATAAATTCAATTTAGACAAATTTTATTCGAAAGACCTAAAATTTAAAACATTTCTAGAGTACAGTGTGCTTGATGAGTTTGGTTACCCAAACTCCTTGTCCTTTAATGGATAATGAAAGTATTATCTCTTTCAACTCTTCAAATACATGGTTTCTTCACATCTCTCATGAATCCCATCAGCAGCTACTTTCATCTTCATGGATTTCACTCAGTCTGTCCAAGACTTGAATACCGCTCCCCCGCCCCCTAGCAGAATAAAGGAAAGCGATTGTTAGTAAGGTATAACTTCCCTCTAGCTTCTTTCTCCAATTTATCGTTACTTTTGATGGCCAAATCCAAAACAGGTAACTCCACAATATTCTATCCTCATTGAGTTAAAATTATTGGACCATCTAACTTTTTTTCTGTCCCAAGAGCCCAAGACTAGAACCGTCTACTATGCTCAGTCTTTCATCCTCCTGTAATATACAGGCTTTTAAAATGCAACAGTGACTTCTGTTTTTGTTTTAAAATACAACCTTGGCTTTGCCTTAGAACTGGTTCTTGATATCCTTGTGTTTTTTTTCACCTGTTTTCACTCTTGGTGTCCTATAGCATGGACTGGACTTGAAAAAGTGTCTGCCACCAACAAAATTCTCCTCTCAGCGGCTCTAATAGACCTAAAGTCCATCATGTCGTGACAGGAGTTGTGTAGAAGGGAGATCAATTGACATCTGCAGTCGAAAAGTAATTTTCGGAAAATATGACAGGAATTTGAAAAAATACAAGCTAACCCTTTTTCTAAAGCACTAAAAGTCTTCTCTTAGTAATTTGGTCAACGTTCATTTTTAACGTCATTTTTCAACCAAACCAAGATGGTATTTGAGAGGTGTAAATATTAAAACAAACATGTTTTGAGTTTCCTTTTACATAGTAATTTCATACGCTTTCACATGAAGAAACGTGCTACTATTTTAACATTGCTCATATAAAAATGAAACCTACTGAAGCTCTTATTCGTTGATGATTGAAGTCAGTCTTTTATCTAATGTGAAAGGCCCAAGGGCTTGAGGCAATTATTTACTGTTGAAGTACTGAGTGCTGTTGATGTGATCAGAATCCATTACAGTATCTTGAAATGCTGTAATTTCAAAGGGACTATTTATCCTTGTCATGTATTAACACTTATGAAATCATGTTTGGCCTACTTTGTATCAGATATTTGTATCTTTTCTGTTTTGTTAAAAGCTAGTATTTTAAGCTGTTTATACAGAAACACTCTTCAATATGCAGTATTTGCCAGGATGCTACTTTCTGTCTTCACAGGGGGAAACACCGTTAGATCTTGCTAAACAGAGGAAAAATGTTTGGATGATTAACCATTTGCAAGAAGCAAGGCAAGCAAAAGGCTTTGACAGTCCTTCTTTCCTGAAGAGGCTAAAGGCAGACAAGGCAAGTGCCGTGTGTGGACCAAGCACCAAATCAAGGTGGAAATGCTCATCCTGCTGTATTGACGTGTCACTCATGTGGATTACATAGTATTGTTGACTGCTGTGGGGAAATCTGCACTGTAGACATTTAACCTTCAGTAAAATACAAGAAGGGTGTTCAATGACAAATCTTTTCATTTAAAAGCAACTTCCTTATTACTAAAGATAAACATTAATTATTTGGATGGAAAGTATGATAAATAATTTGTGATTTTTGTCATATTCTGTACCTGTAAATTAACTTGAATGGCCAGTTTCTTGGTTGACTTGTTTCTTCAGTGATTTCTCTGATGGTGAACAAATTGACTCGATTTACCTATATTGGAAATGCTGATACAAGATCTGCAAACGTGAATATTCCCAGACGTCAGATGATTTGCATTTTGTATTTTTGGCTTGTTTTGAATAGATGGGGAGAGGGGGAATAATAATAAAATAACAATCCTTGCATTTGATATATAAATATGAATGGGTTAACAGCTGAGTAACTTCAGTAGGAAATTCAAACAGTGTGTAACCATCCTAATTACTGCCCTCGGCATGTGTTCAGATCTGGAAAACAATATGCAATGCTTCAGTATTCATATTCACCTGCCTCCTCCTGCTGTTTAGGAATAATTACTGTTTGCTTTTTAAACAGCAGAGGGAGCTATTGCTTTCATGATATTGAAATGCATAAACTGAGCGATTTAAAAAAAAATATGGGATGGGGATAAAACTGGTGTCTTCAGTCCTGTCCATTTGTAACTTTTGCCCTGTCTGGAAAGATGTTTGTCAGTAAGTACTGCATGGCCTCTCCACTTGTTCATCCTTAAAATGTTTCTGGCTATGAAACATGTAATTCTTGTATAAGTCATCAATTTGGACACCTCAATGGTTATGGAGAAATAGAACAGAAAAAATGTTTGTTGAAGAGTTGCCAGATTTCCAGGTGTTTGTCTGAATTAATATTTTCCTTTAAAGAAAATTCTATAGTGTACCTTTACCTGTCTGGTTTCCCTGTAACAAAGCGTGTGTCTCCAATGTGGAGGGTAATGGGAGATTTTTGACATATACTATCTGTACTTACCAACATTTACGGTTTCACCCAGAGATGTGCTACTTTCACCCATTTCCTGATCTCTATGTTGCAACAAAAAGTCCTGAACTTGGAATCTACTTTGGTAATTTCAGATATTGGTGGATCATTATAACTAGATTTTTTGTCTTTTTCTGCAGGAATTTCGTCAAAAGGTGATGCTAGGAACTCCATTTTTAGTAATCTGGTTGATGGGATTTATAGCTGATCTAGACATTGACTCCTGGCTGATAAAAGGATTAATGTATGCTGGTGTCTGGGCAATGTTGCAATTCCTCTCAAAGTAAGTAATTAAATGAAAGCTGCTAAAATGTTGGCCTATTTTTGAATTTCTTTCTTTCCCCATTCCCTCCCCTGAGAAATACCCTGAATTATGTTGACCATTTATGAAGGCCAAGACCAGAATATTTCCCCACTCCCCTTTCCAATCTAAGGGTACAAGTACAGTTTATGTCACCCAAGTGGCTGTTCCTCAACACGAGAACCAAAATCATGCACATCAGCAGCCGATTACATGTTCAACAAGAACACTTGTGCTTCACTTACTGTATGTTTTACCTAGTCCAGTCGAAGCCCACTATCACCGTGTTGGTCTGTTTACTCAGATGAACCTGGATCAAACCTTGGTTAGAAGCTACAGTAACTAACTAGGCAGTGAATTTACTTGCTAAACCTTTTGATGGTACTCAAATGGATTACATATCCATCATTGTTCACATTGTATACTTCAGACTTGATTTCAGTCCTGCTTTCCCATTCATTTTTTTTTGCCAGCACTCGGTGTCATGGCAAGGAATAGCATTTGTTGCAGTTCAGTGACTGATAGGTGGAAAAATCCCAGTCACGCTTAAGGGAGTCCCATTCCAGCCACTGAAAAACACATTTTTTGTGAGTATTTTCACTCCCACCCTAAGAGAGAAGACAAGCACAGAATTCTGTGGAGATGGGGTGTGTTTTGGAATTTAACTGGGTCAAAGCACGGATGAGCTTCCCGCTATCCTTACCCAATAGTATTGACCTGCAAGGTTATCAGGAACCAACTGAAAAGAACCGTATCTGTTCCCGTCTCATTTTTGAATCATTTGGTTAATCATCAATAATACCCTAAGGTTCTATGTATCTGTTTGACCTAGACCCCATGCTTCTGAAGCATAAAGATGCAAAGGGAAGGGATTTGTGCTGTAATGTGTTGTTTACCTTTCAGATCATTCTTTGACCACTCAATGCACAGTGCACTGCCTCTTGGAATCTACTTGGCAACTAAATTTTGGATGTACGTGACATGGTTCTTCTGGCTATGGACTGATATCCTTTTAAGCGTTGTTGTACTTTATTCCTTTGCACCATTTGCAATGCATTTTTTAAAAAAAAAAAGCTGGTGGAAGATAACTGAAAATAAATGTAACTTTGCATTGGAACTAAGGCAGTTAGGTATATGAACTTGAATAAACTATATACTATGCAGAATTCTTAGAATGCATTCTTGGAAAGATGAATCTGAAAATAAATTTCTAATATTTGGAAGTTATTTAATGCTATATGTAGCTGTCAAATCGACTAGCTTGTTAATGACCATAGAAATTATGGACATTTGTGTTTAGATTTCTTCAATTATTGCTCCTCAGAAGAGTGCACATAGAATAATGAAAATCAGAGATCAAATTTTTGTTTTGTTTTTGAGGCACAAAATGTTGGAAGGGTATCCTTCATTTTGCTTACAAACTTAGTAAAAAAAATTCTCCTGGGAATGGAGTGTCACTGGGAGCAATAGGTAGTTACTTAATGTAATCGTTTACGAAAAAGACCATTGATTATCGCTTTACAGCTATGTTAATGAAAAAAAAACATTATTACGCTAGGAAGAAGCAGTGTTCCAATTCCAGCTAATCATGTTTGAAGTCCTATAATTCCTTGACACCAAGAAAACATCTTCCTTTCCTGTCTGTGCATATTCCTTTTCTTATCAATAGTGTAGGTCTTTTCTACAATTTTGGTAAGTCATGGAAATCAGACCCAGGAGTTATCAAAGCTACAGAAGAGCAAAAGAAAAAGGTAAGTAGGGTGAGTTTTACAGTTACTCATTTGTGCAACCCTAGTTTTAGGAGTTATGTAAATTCTCTTTTGTAGATGTTAATGGTACAGAAAATGAGTATTATATCTGATTCTTTATCAAGAAGCTATGAACAACTGAGCTCCCGAATGTCAGTTACTGTATTTCGTATCTCTTGGACAGGAGAGATGAATCAAAATTGACAAAAAATCTAATTTAAATTTTATGATTGGAAGACAATTCTAATTGGAAGATTCAGTTACATAAATATTGGTATTTTGTTTTTGCTACACATGATGTTGGTTGTAATCTAAGTCATAAAGGAGAACAATAGACCTTTCCTCAATTTGCAATATATTTATAACTAATGCTTTAATTTGACATTGCCACCATCCTAACTATCCTCCTGACTCCAGAGGAAGCATTGTTAAATAGTGACTGCGATCAGTTGGAGGTGCTGAGTTTCAGCAATAGTTGATTAGCACACTGCACACCAACCAATGCTTTCAAACCCACACTCCAATTAACATTCTTCAGCAACCAGTCCTAAGCCATAATTTCCATGTCAGTCTTTTGCTTTTCAGCATGGTGGAGAGATTTCTGTGGGGCATCTTACAATGTGCCAGCAAGTTAGAGGATACATGAGGAAGGAGAGGATTAGGATAGGTGGAGGCTCGTGGGCTGAATGGCCTGTTTCTATGTTGTAGCTTTCTCTGCAGTTCAAGTCTAATGATGTGTATCAGGCTTGCTAGCCACCAGCTGTTGAATCCAGATCTTCATGTAAGTGGCTTTGGAAAAACTGGCCCAAAAGAACCCTGGATCCAAGAGTGTGACACGCTTTGGCTGAATAAGCAGAGCAGACAGAAAATGACTAGCGAGCAAATAACTTTCAAAACCAGTTCTTTGACTGCTTGAGTAATGGATCTTTATCTAGTGCTGAGAAATAACAACATTCGAACATTGTGCTAAGTTAATGCTGACTTTTATATCTTGTGTTCCAGACAATAGTGGAATTGGCTGAATCCGGACATCTGGATCTTAGTATATTTTGCAGTACTTGTTTGGTAAGATAGAATTGCAATTTCTTTTGTCTTTTAAAGCTTTATAACACACACACATATATATATTATATAAATATATGTATAGTATATATATATAAAAAAACTGAAATATTTTCTTCAGTCCTAATATACAATAATCAATGGGCTATTGAGCCAGGTAGCAATCACAATAACGTATTCAACATATTTGTATTTTCTGAGCAGATCCGGAAGCCTGTTCGATCCAAGCACTGTGCTGTGTGTAACAGATGCATTGCCAAGTTTGATCACCATTGCCCGTGGGTTGGCAATTGTGTGGGTAAGTCAAAGAAGGCACAAATTCTGATTTTAAGGCAATGAAGCAAAAAGGGGGGCTGATATAAGAAATGGCACTGGAAGGAAATCGAAAGCTAAACAAATACAGAATGCAAAAAACATTAAACAGGGAGGATGTAAATAAAATGTATACAGCACAACGTAGAGTTGCATGCTAATATTTAAACAACTATAAATAATTCCAGAAAGCTAAAAGAAGCATAATTTTTGTAATTGATTCGAAAATATATTACAGATGGAAAGATTGCTAGGGATATGAAGCAAATTTGCAGTAGCCATTGGAAGAAATAATAATTAGAATTTTAGGTACCTGTGCAAAAAATAAAATATGGAAAGTACCTTTTAAGGAAGTGATAATCAGGAGGATGGGATGTGCTGGAATACATTTAATTGTGACTTTACATTGGTTTCCGTTATACATTTTGTTTGGATATTGTGCTTTTGAAGTTGTATGTCTTCAAATTGGGCATTCATTTTCAAACATGTTGCTCTCGTACTCTTGAGTGTAACTGTATTATGAAAAGTTAATTTATTGATCATAACTTTCGAGTTATTCAGTGTTGCTTTAATGTTAACTATTTCGGATACAACGTCTATTTCTCTGACAATCAATTGAGTCTCTTGTACAAATAATTGTGGTGTCTTTTATCAGCAATATCTATAATGATTAGCAATATCTTTTTACCAATTGAAGTGCTGTATACATATCTATTTTTCACTTCATGTGTACAGGGGCAGGAAATCACAGATACTTCATTGGATATCTGTTTTTCTTGTTGGGGATGATCGTTTGGATGATTTATGGCTGTTTCTTGTGTAAGTAATGTCCTCTCTGAAATCTAGTTTATCTCCCCCTTCGTGACATCATCCACAAACTAAGGTTAAACTCCTATGTGTACGCCTGTCACCCAAATCTACTTTTCCACTCCTGCTCTTGGTTCCAAGTCCACTGATGTTCTGTCCATTTGCCTGTCAGACATCAAGGCCTGAAAGAGCCTCAATTTATTGTTCTCCTCCTACCCCACTCTGCTTCTTTCTCCCTCGGTTTGGAAAGCTCTGGCCTTCAGCAACTTCCTCTCTCTACCTCAATCTCACTCTTCTATCTGTCTCTAAATCCCACGAAAACCCTTGCCTCCTTGACCATGCCTGCATACGCCTCTGCTCAGTCCAGTGAAGCACTCCGACAGCTTATCCTACATAAAGGGAGCTACATAAATACGAGTTGTTATCTGTTGTCTACTGTTCTCCTAGATGTACATTCTGGTTTTTAATTTCAGATTGGAGTCTCCACTGTGAGACCACTTACCAGAAAGATGGATTTTGGACGTACATCACTGAAATAGCTAGCTGCTCCCCGTGGGTCTTCTGGATGTTTCTGAACAGTCTTTTTCATTTGATGTGGGTGGCCGTGTTGCTGATGTGTCAGATGTATCAGGTAAACAAGTCCTCAAAGGTTTCAAATCTCAAGTCCTCCCAAAGATTTTAAATTATAACACTGTACTTTGTTTTTGGTGTATAAGTGACTATCATGTTATAATATAATTAACAAATCTGATCTTGATCAAAGGATTATAATTACTGAATTTCCAAGTGATAACTAATGTTAATTTGAAATATTAAAATGTTGATTTTTCAAGACCTTTTATTACCACTCGAAATTCCTTAGTAATTGCAAAACAATGAAGTGCCCACCACACCACCCCCCTTTGTTGAGATGTCTCTATGATTGTTTGGTACAGATTGCTTGTCTGGGGATAACTACAAATGAAAGGATGAATGCAAGGCGATACAAGCACTTTAAAGTTACCACAACCACAATTGAAAGTCCTTTTAAGTGAGTACATTTTTGCATTAATGCTTCAGTATGATCTACAATCGATCAACAGTAACAGGCGATCTGGGTTGCTACCCTGCGTGGGGGGGTGCTATGTTAATGCACATTATTATTGTCACTGTGTGAACGATTGATTCCTTTTAATCATTTTAATGAATTGGATCCTTTCTTCTCTCCCTGCAGCCATGGTTGTATTCGGAATATCATAGACTTCTTTGAATTTAGATGCTTTGGCCTCTTTCGTCCTGTAATTGTTGACTGGACACACCAGTATACAATAGAATATGACCAGACAACAGGATCAGGCTATCAGCTTGTGTAGTGGGATCAGCATCTACAATATACATCATGTCTGCCATCCGACCGTTTAAACCGGTACCTGACACTTTCCTTCATTTTGTTCGTCGATATCAACTTGAACCAATGTGTTACTAAGAGAAGGTGGAATACTGTGGTACTTCATCTGGATCAGTTGCATTCAGAAAATAAACGAGGACAGTTGAACTGCCTGTTTTTTTTCCGTACGGTTAAATTGTACTAAAACTGAAGATAGATGGGACCTTTTTAAAACATCTGCTTTCGTGGAAATTAGTGCTTGCAATATAATTTTCATTACATTATGTTTTCCTCAGATTACTTTATAAGAGACATAGTTGTGGTGATCGATCCACTCAGTTAAGTAAATGCCTGATTCAGGTATCATGGCTACATCCAGTTCCCACTTCCTTCCAATTTACCGCAAACACTTCATCTATACTCTCCCAAACACTGCTACTTATAAGCATTCCTTATATGGTACTTTAAACGAAAAAATCTTTGTAGCTAAATACAGAAATTGATGTCGGAAGTCATGTGAAGAGAGAAAATATAATCCCTTTATTTCAGATCTTTATATTTAAAAATGTTTTTTTGATTTTTAATGATTTTAAAATGGGCAGCCTTGTAGCTCAATTGATTTCAATTGATGAGATGTTTCACTCCTGACAGGAATGACCATGAAGTTGAGTCCTCGTGCTTCCTGTCACTCTATAACTCATTCGCCCTCCTTTGCATGGGTTTGGTCAGGTCTCAGGCAGGCTGATGGAGCACAGCACTGGGATTAAGTGCTCCACTTCTTAATGGAGGGAGACGGCAAGGGGTGGGGGTCAAAAGGGTGTTAAGTGACATTGTCTTATTCCACTGGAACCGTGTTTCCCGCTGGCCAGTCATGGAGAGACATTTGTGTCAATTGTGGAAGAAGTCTGCAACGAGACCGTTCTGTCCTGCTGAACATGTGGTGAGTGGCCATTGAGGATGGAAACACTGGGATAAAATTGCATGTTTAAGATCCAAATTGAAGCACTGAATTTTGTTTTATGACCTTTTGATTTGGTCATTATTGTTTATCCACTGCTTCCTGGAAACATAATGTTTACAGACAGTGATTTTTGCTGAAATGGTTAGATAGTTCAGCCACGAAGTGGTTCGAGAAACCTGTGAGGTCGAGCATTACCTGAAAGCAGCTCCCTGAGCCAGTGTAAAGATTGCTTGCAACTGTATATAAATTATTTATCAACTAGTTTTATCAGTGTGTGATTTTTGCAAGTGTTAGTTGGAGCTGCTATATTAATTTTCATTCAACCAACAATGTGTAGGAATGTAGTCCATTGCTTTTAGAGGTGTCAATGACTCTGTTTATAGCAAATTACTCATCAAAATCACTGCATGTCTGATGCTTGGCAAAAGAGGCATTCCCCAGTACAGTAGAACATAACAGCATCACAGCAGCTTACAGCACACACTGCACTGTTATGTCAGCTTCTTCCTTTTGTAGGAAGAACAGTGAATTTGTAAATAGTGAGTGTCTTGTATTTGCAAGTAAAAAAAACATTTCTGTAGCTGTTTATTTTGTAGTGTGAGCCATGCATAGTTTGTAAGTACTGTACCAGATATCAAGACTTGCAGTATTGTAATATTAGTCAACTTGAATGTTTAATATTGGGAAAATAAAACTTTATCTTTGACACAGATTTGAGCATATTGCCAGTTTGTCCTCACACAGATTACAGCATTAGGCCCTCAGTCTTCACAAATTTAGCATTCTCGTATTTATCATAACAACGTTTCCTTGATGCTTCAAGTTTAAACATTCGTGTTTTTTTTCTTTCCTCACGTTTAATTCAAGGAACAATTCTCCCCGACCATAGTGTGCACTGAGTTTCATACTCGCAAATAATTAAATGTTATGTTAATTTAATACGTTGTTGGAGATCCTACATCCACAGATTGTGAATATTTTGTTTTTGTATTACGTTATTTATAACTGTGCCAAGAATTTTTTTTGCTACTATCCAGTCCTTTATGTACACCAACTGAAACTGTAATATGTTCAATTAAAAAACAACTTGCTGTCCTTCCAATGGTTGGATCCGTTTGTTACATTTTGTTGTTTTTCAACTAATAAACTCACTGCAGGCATTCATCACTGTTAATTTACGTGTTCAGGTGTGTGTGTCACTACACTTGCTTTCTCAAAAGTTTACAACTATAATAGATTGTGTAGAGTAGGGTGCATTCACCTACACATATACAGACACAACACTTGACAGCAAATCCTGTGAAGTGCTTTGAGATGTTTCGACAACATGCTAGGGTGCTAATGGTTATTATAGATATTAATAATAATAATTCTTGCATTTGATATGTTTCATCACGTCTTCGAGACGTCTCAAAGTGCTTCACAAAATAAACTTGAATTAATTGACAATTTTTGTGAGTGAAATGCGGCAGCCAATTGCACACAGCGGTAAATGATAATTCACTATTATTTTTCCAGTTTTCTGTGCGAAAAGCTTAGTACTACAATGGCAGTTGTTGATAAGAGTGAATCTATTGAAAGTCTTACTGTAGAGAAATAAAGAATCCTAAACTCTGTGGTTTGGGGGCAGGTACAGCTGTATACATCATGACCTGGGCAAATCGCCAGGCTGTACATCATCAGCTTTGGATATTCATGTAATTTTTTCCTTTCTACATTGTGCAGTTTCCTTGCTTGGGGAACCTTTGACAATGTTGCGTAAACAGCTGCTGAAACGTGCTCAAAAGTAGCCTGAAGGAATTGACTCACTATTGGTGACCAGCGACCAAAGCATTTGGTCACTCAGTCTCTTTTTGCTACAGTTTAGTGGTTCACCACATGGAGAATGACTGTGAAACCTTGTATTATGGCACTCTACCACAATGCTGTCATTGTGCTCGTAAATACTGTATCTAATCTTGTTCAACAATAAAAGAAGGTAATAGCAAAAATACAATAGTAAAAATGCAACTTCTTGTAACTTCTGGAACAATGTGAGTAACTTTGCACGATATTGTTTTCACAATAATGTGGTGTTAAATATTTTCATTGAATGAGTAACACTGGACTTCCAACAGCCAACAAAGCAGTCTTCAGATTCTGTTTGGTGGAGCATGTGATCTGGATGTAATGAATCTCTATGTGGAGTCCTGTAGCTCAGTGGTTAGAGCGCTCGCCTCGCAAGCGAGAGATCTGAGTTTGATTCCCGACAGGGTGAAACCTTGGGCAAGTTTCCTTACTCCACAAGTGTGATAATAATCCCTCAAGAAAGAAACAATAATAAATTGGTCACTTCAATCCACGACTGTTGAGTGCAATTGGCTGCCGGGTTTTGCCCACAAATATAATCAATTTATTTTACAGCGCCTTATGAAGCGCTTTGCGACGTCTAGAAGATGTGAAAAGAGCTATAACAAAATGCAAAGATTATTATATGCTGCTGATTAAGTAGTTGCTGGGAAGGTAAGGCTTCTTGTAAACTTGTCTTCAGTCAGTTGATTTGCTGTACTTGATTACTTCAAGTCTCTGCTTCATTGAGGCTTTCAGTATATTTTCTATATCCATCTTTATTGCTGATTATTTGCAACTGTACTTGAAGTACTATTTGTAGTATTTGTGCTTGTTTGGTAAATCCATTTGCTAATACTCGATATCCACAAACTAACAGGTTATATATAAAATAAATTGACAAATACTTTGTCGTGCATGGAAAAGGCGAGCAGTTATGCAAAGCTTTAATTGTACTCTTGCCTTGTCTGATGAAGTTTTAAATCTTTATAACACGGTTGTGACCTAGTAAAAACTCCTGCTGTCATTGAGTGTGTGTGTTTATATAATAATAATAAATGTATGTTTAGGACTTGAATTATTCTCAATGATATTGTTGAAATATCTTAAAGGGCTCAGGTGGGGAATGAAGGAAGAAATTGTCTTTCATTTGTTTCACCTTGTGAAAAGTATCTTCTACCATCCTAGATACAGTTAGAGAAGAGGAGAGTTAGTGTTTCATGATCAAGGGCATTGTGTTGGCAGAATGCTTGGTGAACTGCTTTGTTAGTAGGGATTCCCTTACTTGTCTCTTCAAATAAGATAATTAGAATTATATTTGAAACAGCTCTCGCCTTGGCTCAAGAATTGTTTTCAACGTGTCAAATGTACAAGCCTGGATTCACCCAGTTTCAATAAAACAAAAGGAGAAATCTTCTGCACAAGCACTTCCTTTAAAATTGAAAACTTAAAAAAAAAAATTAAAAGCATTTTTAGATGGTTACACCGAGTGAGGAAGCCTAAATGTGCAAATCTTTTGCTGAGTGTATGGAACATTCAATCACCCAAAGAAAATAATTCAAAATATTGCCAAGCGATTTAAAATAAAATGATCTGTCGCCATCATGTGGGAAAGAAAGGTAGTACCTTCAATGAGCGATGTTCCAGGTTTTGCAGTGAAGTGCGGAAGAAAAGCAATAATGAATAAGCATTACCCTTCTTCCAGTGCCCCCAACATTGCTGGGCTTTCAGCCATCCTGCCCCGGCTCTCAAAATGTCCCTCTTACCGTGCTTTCGGTCATCTTTCCCATTGCCAGGCCGCTCGAGCAGCCGAGGTGCACACCTCGCACTTTGAGCTCTTCGAGACATCCTCCCGATGTGACAGGCGTTATATAAATGTAAATTGTATTGGATTGCTTCATTCCAGATTTAAATTGCACTTTGTTAGATAGATGCTTTCATGGACCTCATTTGATCTCCTGTGCCACACATTCCTTGAATGATGTGAAATTGTTCCCATTGCTATTCATGAACTGGTCAACCCACCATCACTGTCTCAGCTTTTTCTTCATTATCTTCAGGGCAAAGCCACCATTCAGCACCTCCTACCTGACAGCTCCCTTAATTCTTATTTCATTGAAACTGCAAAAAAAATCAGATTTCTTGAATTGATCCCAAAGCTGATTTATTGGGGGCATTGGACCCAGTCAACTTTGGGAATTAATATTAGTTTTAACCCTTTCACTCATTCTCAGGGGAACACCGCAAAGTTAACAATTAAAATCCAAATTCAAACCCTTTAACCTTACATCTGAAACCATGTAATCCACTTTGCTATTACGAGCACCAACATTGGAACAGGATCCTTGATTCTGCAAAATCAATTTTTGTGCTTAACTAAGGATTAATTCCAATGCAAAGCTTCCACCTACAGTATAGTAGAACTGATAGATAATGGTCTTTTGTCCATTATAAATGGTTGAGGACTGCCTTCCAGATTACTATAATAATAATCATCATTACATTTAATATTACTAACTAAAAATGGAGTTTGGAGTGGAATCGTAAAGTTTAGGGATAGTTTGTCCTCTCACACAATGTCGATGCACAAAACTTTTATTGTACTTTCATTAGGTACCTGGAATATACATGTTTTAAAGAGGAAACTGAATAGATGTCTTCTTGGATAAAGTATTAATCATCTGCCTGTTTTGGTGAATCTTCAGCATCTCACAACACTAAAAATAAATGTGTTTCTCATGGTTTCCTATCCACCAATCCTCCAGATAAATTGATCATTCACTTCACAGCTGTTTAGACCTTGCTAAGTGCAAATTGGCTGCCTGCAAAAAGACACACTTGACAGAAATAACATTTAATAATAATCCTTGCATTTGATATAGCGCTTTTCACGTCTTCTAGATGTTTCAAAGCACTTCACAGAATATACTGTAAAGTGAACTGACTGTATATTTTGCGGTCAAAACCCAGCAGCCAATTGCCCACAGCAGTGTCCCACAAGAAAAAAAATAATTTGGGCACTTAACCCTAACCCTAAGTCATGGGTTAAGTGCCCAAATTATTTTTTTTCTTGAGGGATTATTATCAGGCGTGTGGAGTAAAGAAACTTGCCCAAGGTTTCTCCCTGCTGGGAATTGAACTCGGGTGTCTCGCTTGTGAGGCAAGTGCTCCAACCACTGAGCTACAGGACTCCATTTATAGGTTAACCTGATGGCTTTGATGGGTCCAACTTTATGAAATGTGAAGATTACTTTTCATTAGACTATCATCTGGGACACCCATCCTCTGGACAGGATTAGCCTTTTAAATTGGATTAACAATGAACCTTTTACAGCAAGTAATTAGCTGAGGGAGATGGTAATGAATTGAGTTCGATCATCAACCAGTCAAAGAAATTTGTTCTCGTACTTTTTATTGAACTATTTCAGAGAATTAATTTAAGCAGAAATCAAATGTGTATTTCCACATAACAAAAAAAATCTGAATCTATATGCAAGTAGCTTTACAGTACTACAAATCACCCAGCTATTGCTTCTACAAGTAGAAAAGATCCCTGTTTAAACCTGATTGCTAAAGCATGTGACAGCCCCAGAAAGCAACATTCTGAGGGTAAAAAGCTAACTTCAGCAAACAAGCAGCAGCAAATTAAAAAAAATCCAGCATTTCAAATACAAGATTAGCACCATAGTTGTAACAGTTACAACATACAAGGTATGTAAACAAGCTGCAAAATGTTAAGTATCATATTGATGGTTTGGGATTTTGTTTTTCAAAAATGGACCGAAGCCACAAAATGGATCCCCCTCTTCCCAAAGATATCTTTCAGAAATAGCTGCAAGTTGCAGATTAAAGACAAATCGGCTTGGTTTTGTTTGACCAACCATAACCACAAGAGATAGGAGATTGTGGGGGAGAAATTCTGCCTGGGTCTAGATTTACTCTATTTTGCACTTTGGGTGTCCAGAATTTGACGAATCCTTAAATAGTCTTAATTTTAATGTTGATTTACTGGAAGTTTCTTTTGCGAACAGAAAACCAACTTGAAGGTTAAGACTGAAAATTCAATACCGTGCCAAATTCTGGACACCGAAAATGCTACATGAAGAATAAATTTAGACCCAGATGGAATTTCTTCTCTCGCTACTGTTCCTGGTTTCACTGTCTGGCTCACCTTGAATGGAGTTGTGCAATGTACACAAAGCTTGCAGCTCATGCTGAGTGTGATTGCAGTGTCACAGGAGAGCAAGTGGGTCTTTGACTGGTGTCCACACTCCCATATCCTGGTACATTAACTCCAGCTGTAGTGTTACCGCTGCTGCCTGAGGCTTCAACATACACTGGGGACTGACCCTGAGACTTTGCTGGTCTGTACAATTCCATGTTGCAACCAGGTTTATTTATCCACCATGACATCAGACTAGAATATATTAAGAGTAATCGAATTGTAATATTATTGGGGAAATTATTTAAACAATATCCAAATTGTTGAGGTTATTATTCAATAATATTAAATAAAAAACCTTTGGGGTGCATGACCCATTTTGTGCCTCACATTTCAAAGCTGTCCAAAATACAGAATAGTGAGTTACAGATTAAATTAATTACTCGTTATAGATAAGTATTCCTTTGAACAGTTGAACACTGGTGATATTTCCTCCATAAATAAGTGCAGATATCAGTTATTAATCAAGTAGATTTTTTTTGGAAAAACAGAATCATCAGAAATTCCACCTCCTGTAGGATTCATTCCCTCATTCAGTTTAACAGCTATTCCCCTAAATACTAATTTTTTTTTTTTTAAGAAGTTCTTCTATTTCAGCACCCAGTGGGTTCACCTCTCCCCCATTCATAGATTTACAATGTGACTTACGATCTAATGCTACTGTGAAAATCCACCTAGAATTGGTACATTCATACATTCAATCTGCGACTCGAGAAAGAACAGCAGTGTCATCTGAGAATTTGACTCTACGTAAATACACCAGCAACCACCAAATGTGATTCCATTGACTGTTGTATTCAGCAACATTAATCAGTTCAGCATTTTGCTTTCTGAAGTTGAGTAAAGAATGTCGCAGGTGGACTTATTCAAACACCATGTTTTTAAGCCAAACCAATTTTTCTTGGCTTTAAAGATGCACATTACACCACCAATAAGCCACTGTCCACAGAACAAGGTAACCAGCAACATTTTTTAAAAAAATGTAAGACCCATGGCATCTCTTCATTTAGCACAAGAGCAAACATTACTGTGTAATGTTCAATGGCAGCTCAGAGAGGCATCTGGATTCATTCTATTCCTCTGCCATTTCAGAGCATCAAGAATTTGGTAAGTTCTTAAAAACATCAATATTGAAACCGGATTTCTGGGTTATTTTAAGGAATACAGAAAAATCATTTCAAAGTTTAGACTAAATCGAGATCCGGGTGGAATATTTCACTGGGGCTAATTTGTGATATTTGCAAATTGATTTGTGGATAACAAAGCTGCAAGTCACATCTCAAATCACTCCCCTGGAAGCTGCACACAGTCTCTGCACAGTCTGAAACTCAGAATACTGTGTTTACAGGTAATCTCACAATAAAGGTGGAGGTTAGCCGACATGAATTGAACCCCTATCTGGATTCTGCAAAGCATTTTTATGGGTCACTCCTACATAGTTTACCACAGAATGAATGCCAAGATCAATCTTTTTGCCCTAACCACTCCAATAGCTGGCCATCTTAGGTCTGGTGAGAGCTGCAGATTAACATGCAGATATATCACAGTATTTTGTAATTATTCAAGATTATTCACATTATTAACATCCAATTTCTGTTGTGCCAGTTCCTTGGGGGGTCTTCTTCTGCTGTTGGTATATAAGTACACGTGGGATCTGAAAAGTACCCACCTTTTGCCACATATGGTTTGGATTGTAAGGCTCGTGGAAATGGAAACAACATGCAGTAAAGCATTCTCCCCTTCCAACAACAAACGGCCTGGTATGAGGGCATTCAGCTCACCAATTCCCTTGACCTTTACAAGGTCGACAATAGCCTTTCTGTTGAAAGTCACCAAAGGATGTCCTTTTTTGGCTCCATAAAACATTTCCTAGTTTGAAATTTCAAGCATATTTCAAATTTGATCATACTAATATATTAACATGTAACACAATATAAAACCTCTCCCGTATATAGACGAAAAAGGAAAGGATTAAAAAAAATACTCAGTGCTTTGTTGTTCATCCACCTCATCAGAACGATCGATTACTTTCAAATGGTTTGGTGTGCAATGAATTTGTAAACAACCACGGATACACAATACAGTCAAAGTAATCTGCAGCAATTGACACCATTGATAGGTTAGACAATTCCCAAATACACTCAATATTTACTAAGAATAACATTCGTCTATAAGATACTGTGTAGAATGCATTATTTTGAAACACTATTCTCAATTTCTAGTCGTCGCTGGGCTGAGGACATAACCTTCACTTGCACACCCTCCGGTTTTTTCACTTGCATTGTGGCTACAGGTGTGTGGAAGAAAGTCTCCAGCAGTGTTGGCTGTTCACCCTTGGGAGTCAACGGAACAGACGACTGCAAAATATTAAAGGCAAGCACAGCTTTAGTTAGAATGAGTTTCCATTCTTCTGCTTTGCCCACACACCCTTCATTCCCGTCCATCCCCAGATTCCCTCCTTGAAGGGTTGTCTGAATAGCCCCAGATGGAAATCTGGATAGTCAGGCTTCCTTATTAATAAACTGCTTAACATACAGCTTGCATCTGATTACACTTCACACAATTAGTTATTTGTTATGAGTTAATAACATAAGAATTGTTGATTGGATAAACAACTTTATCATATCACTGAAATGTCTCAAAGTGCTTCACAAGATTTACTGCAGTGCAGTGACTATGTATTTTTAATAGGATCATGTTTAATGAATTTAGTGTTTGAACTGATCAAAGGATATTTTACATTCTGCTGCTCACATGATGAATTGGAATCAAAGCTCATCAGTCAGTCTCTGACTGTTTTGGACCGATTTCTTTCTATCAGAAGGAAATTCCGCATTAGTGAATTTCAATTCTTGCCTTCCCTAATTTAATCTTGATCAGGCCCTTAAAAATGTGGGAATCCTCAGCTCTTGGGTCTCTCTTTATAACCTACGAACTATTAGCTCTGAAGCTCAGGTTTTTACAAAACCACTGGTATTTAATCTTGTTTTCTCCCTGCTTTCTTTCCAGCCTTGGTGGTGTGTCCTCCTGCACTGTGGCTTCCGATCGTTACCACAGCCATATCTTTCTGGAGCGATCGAAGATTCCATAACAAGAACGAATTACGTTTGTACAACGCCTTTCACGTCAAGATTCATACCTGTTGCTGCACTTTGAGTACAGCGACCGGTTGCAAAGCTGCAGCGTCTCCTTTGCTTTCCCGAGATCGTTCGGTCAGCACGGGGCTCGAGTAACTCTGCCGGTCTCGTGAAGAGGAGCAAGCGGTGGAGGGCGTCGGTGGAGCCTTCAAGACTGTTCCCATTAAAAGCTGTGTGGGCGGCAGCAGGCTGAGGTTCTGAAGGTTGAAATGCATTAGACCGGGGCTCTGAAGGCCACCAGCGGCAGAGGTTATGTTGGGAACGGATGTTTGGCAAAGCACAGGCACCATCACATATGGGATGTTCAACGAGGTCATCTGATCTGGAGACAGAGTCACTGCCCTTAGGTTTTGATCAGCAGAAACTAACAGACGACTCATTTCATTCAAGCCTGCGGCGACAAATAATACAGTTCAAGTTCCGCCAGCAGTTTCTAAGCACTTAATTCGCTCACACCAACCCATCCATTTCCATCGAACACATTTCAAACGACATTTACAATAAACCAACGAAATCTGTGACAACAAAAAGTTGTCAGGGAATAAATCAGGGGCCGAAGCAAAGTGCTTGTGATATAAAGGAGCCCGCAAGGACCAGAAGGGAAATGCACCACAGGTCAGTGACGAGGGTAAAGACACTGGACTTGCTTTAGAAACCACTTGATGCCAAGCAAGAGTTTGAGCACCTACAATTGGCCTCAGGTTGCTACTCACTCAGTATCGAGTGTCTCTGGCTGAGATGCACCTGTGAGAACAGGTGGGGACAGCATTGGGCTGGATAGTGCTGCTCTCTGCTGTTGAATAACCTGCCAACATCTATTGTCTGGGTTCACGGAGGCAGAATGACCACTTGGACGAGATCCTAGTAAGTGACGTATAACTGTGCCACAGTCCCTCAGTAGCAATCAGTGACTTCAACAACTATATTCATGTAATAAAGCACCTTTCACACCTCGAGGACGTGTCAAAGTGCTTCACATAAGTTGAGGCAAGAGTTGGGGCCTTGTATTAGAGCGGTGGGGGTGGGCAAAGAAATCAGCCTCTCAAAATCCAATGCCCCCATCTGAAGTGTCAGGAGAAGAGAACACTGATGCGTGAGAGAAAAAGCACACCATATTATTTTTCTCCAATAGCAACGCCCAGTTAATCGAAGGCCCTTTGGAGGCTGTTCTGTATTCAGTCACAGCCAAAAGAGCAGCAGCAACAGCAAACTTAATTGTTTAAGATTTCGGCAGAGAACACCAAGGTCAACTTGCGGTAATGAGAAATTATAAAAGGAAATCCGACGTCATTAAAAAAGTCAGCGCAATTCATTTTAATTCTTTCAATAAATATTTTAATTGCTTCTCATACCCATAGATTAATATATCACTTCAGCAGTCTCTGCACGCCACACTGTGGCTAGTTGCTACATTTGGTTTGTGTTAAGTTACCCTGCAATCTGACATTGGGGACTAATTTGCAATATTGATAAACAGGATCGATGTGTTAATTCTGGTGGCTATTTTAAGCACTCTGCATGAAGGGCACTGTATGAACGCAAGCTGTTGTTTTATTCATCGGCTTTATAAAAAATATTTAAAAAAATATAAAAAAACAGCCGATTTTGGGGAGAATTGGAATCTTTGTGAATCTCACTAAGTAAATGTCTCCTGATATTCATAAATTAGAAGCCGCAACAAGAACTTCAAATCCCTCTGTGACTATTATACATTAGATATTGGGATCTAACAAAGCAGATTTGCAAAGCAGATTCATTGTGTTAATTTTGACTTCCGATTTGCGAGTATCTTAAGCAGTTTGCAGCAAAAACACAAAATATTTAATTGTGAATTCTGAAAGCCAGGCACACGGTCCCCATTGACTTTCTTCTGTGCATTTAAATTTAGATTCCTAGCTATACAAGGAGTAAGCAGCAGTTTTTGTTCTTGGCACTCAAATAATTCAATATTTAAATATTTCCAATGCAGTATTCTACCAGGACTATTCTCAGGAGACATTAAACGTGCAGTGTCATTTTTCCATAAAAAAGATTTATGAAAGTAATAGGAGGGGAAGTTGCCGGTATTTTTCGCAGCAAAATACCCGCCAAAAATAATAATTTGTTTACTCAATCCACGACCCTCTGTGCGCAATTGGCTGCCGCGTTTCGCCCACAAAATATACAGTCAATTCACTTTACAGTGTATTCTGTGAAGCACTTTGAGACGTCTCGAAGACGTGATAAGGCGCTATATCAAATGCAAGGATTATTATTACTGTTATTATTCCTCAAATTAAAAAAAAATCCTTTTCATTTTCCCAGCAACACAGTAACAACACGAAAGGGGAGAAAAAAAAACTGAGGAATTTGTAGGTTTCCCTTTTATAACACTGAAGTCAGAAATGTAGACACTATTTTCACTCACCTGAAGCTGATGACAGATTGAGGTACTGAGTGAAGGGCAGGGTTTCATCATTTTTTCCTTGAGCTGATTCACTGTGTTCAGAAACAGCAGACCGAGGGGGGCAGTCTCGAGGCACTCTGCGTCCAGATCTTATTGGATACTTCAGAGAAAGACAAGACAGGAAATCATTAACACCAATTGTAGAATCATCACATTTACTGGGAGACAGAGTCAAGATGTTTGCTGTGGGTCAGATTTTTAGACAGCCAGAGAAAGACAAATGGACAAACTGCATTGTCGCAATAAAAACGTGGACAGAATATTAAAATGTGCATTGGGGTTGGAAGAGAGGGGAGAGGGGTTGGGGGGGAGGAGAGAGAATCAGCTTAACATCAATGCTATAATCAGGAGACAATTGCCATTCGCTTGGGTTCACCTGTAGATAGCCTAAGGCAGACAAGAAATAATGGAGGGTGAGAGAGGAAAAGAAGCGAGAACCAGATCAATTCTTTGGGAAGATCAATACACACACAGATAATATACTTCATGATCATAAGGATCCCAATACCCAGAGGGAGAATCGGTATGCAGGAATGAGAAAAGTATGCAGGAATCAGCTCGTGTCCCATAGGTTTACATACATATAACTCAGTTTGATGTAAAGACCCATCAGGCTGAACAGCGGATCACAGGTTTATGTCAATTTAAAAAAAACACAAGGACTTCAAAGAGATGGGAGTGGCTGAAAATGGAGCAAATCTCTTTGTCCTGTTTGAGGCAGCCAGGCTAATAATGGTGGGTGATTTAGGTGTGAATTTGTAACTGGGTAATAAAGAGATAAGGAAGCAAAAGGTCATCACAAAGTGAACAAAGTCAAAATGAGGAGTAATGAAACCGGACTGAAGATCAAACACTGTCTCGTGGGTCAGAACATCAGCTGTGACAATATCACCCTCAATTATAATAATAATCCTTGCATTTGATATAGTGCCTTATCACGTCATCGAGACATCTCGAAGCACTTCACAGAATATACTGAAAAGTGAATTGACTGCTTATTTTGTGGGCGAAAAGCTGTTATGCTTAGTACAGTTTTAGGCTACGGCCCGGAAACAGTTCTCTTCTGTAGAATATGTGTGAATAACATTCCATTTATTTAACTGTTTTAGAAGAATTCACCTAAATAGAGACTTCTGAGTTTTTAAGCTACTGTTAGAGAGACAGACGCATGTTTGAATCTTGTCCTACCGGTCTACGATAAAGTACCCCAGGGTTGGTGCATGGAGCCAAATTACATACATTTGGCCAGTGTAGTAACTAGACAGCTTTCTGCGAGGAATAAATCCCCAGATCTCTCTTTCTTACAGTTAGACGAACACCTGCGTCCTCTATCCAAGCTGTATTATACCAAGTTTCTCGGTATACGCAGCAAGTCTTGGCCATGTTTCAAACTATTTTCCCCAAACTTACCTCTTGATTATCTTCTCGCACTGCCTGCACTGCTGGGCTCACAGCTTCAGATTTGTTGTCAGCCTCTTCTACGAAGCACAGGGTCCCTGCCAACTGCTGCCCTGCGTTCCCCTCTCCACACTGGTATGTGGTGGCGGAATTCAACTCTGTATCTGGATTAAGGGCTTGAGAAGAAGGAAGTGCATTGGTCTCTGAGCTGTTTTTTGAACACTGAATCTCGATGCGATTACCCTGAGAGCCATTCTGCTGAGTGGAATGTCCCTGAAAAATAAACCAATATTCTTTATACAACACATGAAAATGTCTCGGTTTTCAGAACACATCAGTATTCTCTTTGATATTAGTCAATTTAAAAGAAACATAAGTATATAAAATTGCAGTTAAGCGATCCTCTCACAAGCACCTGGCAAAACTCACTGCCTTACACCAGCAATAACAGGCAGCGGTGCACTCAGTTTGTCCTCAGATATCTCTGCCCTTCTCAAGGCAAGTAAGTGCCTTTATGGCAAGCAAGCCGACAGCAGCAACCCATTTTGACTTTTCCAGCCACTTCATCACTCCTTTTGCCAGTTGAGGAAGATGGAGAGAAAAGCTGTTGTTAGTCTTGAAACTGGCCACGAGGGGCTGAGGCCAATGCCTTCTGACTCGTTCGACTTGCCCAGCGACGCCAAGGACGACATGGCTGAGCCTGGATGCTACTCATGTAGACTCTAGTCAGAAACCCAGGAACCGGTCTGTCCCTCCGTTGCCTCCTTCAAGATCCGTCTCAAGACCCTCCTCTTCGAATCGTGCCATTTGCCCCCCCTTCCTCTCCCCACCCCCCCGCCCTCCATCCTCTCCGATCCCGACCCCCAGCTCGGGTCCAAAACACTGACTGTCCAGTGCCTTTAAAAAGCAGCTTGATGCTGCGATGGGGAGGTGGGGAAGGAGAGAGGGGTTATCTTCTGAAAAGATGAGATCAGAAGGGCCAAAGGGACTATTCTTATGCTCTTATCCTATCCATTGATGGTACTGTATTATAATCTCCACAATAGTTGAAATACACACCTTGATCAACGTTGAGACAGGCACCTCGGAATATCTCTCTCCAGAGCTCTGGGTAAAACAAATCATTTTTGCTTGTTTAGCCGCTGGCTCACTTTCCTCAGAACACACAAGAATCTTTCTGCAGAATTCAGCTGCACTACGCTTTCGTGATGGGTCACTGCACACAGGACTCGCTTCCTCAGGCCTTGTTGGCAAGGCTTCACCCTTCAATGAGGCTTCAATCCCACCAGAGCCAGCTGTACTAGTTCTTGCAGTTGGGTCTCCATTTTCATACAGCATAAAAACAGGAGCTGATGACAAGTTCTGGACAAATAAAAAAGGTTGATTCTCGAGGAAGCAGAAATGGGCTTTATTTGCCGTACTCGCGACAGACTGGGGCACAACTGTTAACTGTCCATTGGTGCCATCGGGAAGGCAAACAGGCAAGGTTACTTCAGGCTGGAAAAGAGGCTTCATCAAGGAGTCAGCAGCGACCTTGGAGCTGGTCATGAAAATGGGGTGAGAAAGCGAGGGTGCAGAGCTTACACTCTGTGTCTGACAAGTGTTAACTTCTGGGCGAGGCTTTGAGTTTCTGTAAGAATGAAAAAAAAAATCTCCTTCAGCAAGAATTTAATGTAAAGCCACGAACTTCAATATTTTTACAACGGGTTTATCCGTAAGAATTTTTGTTTTACGAATGTCACAGCGAATCAGATCTCATGTTCACACCGCACAGAAAACGATGGTCCCAAAAAGATTACAATCCAATTGAAATCACAGCTTCGCGAGTAAAAATGGATTTTAATTGGTGTAGATGTCAGAAAGGGGGTGCAGGCTTTAACCTAAGGTTACACCTACTTGTCTTCTTCAAACTGCAGTCTGCAAACAGCAGCAAGTTGTGCCATTTTATTGTAGTTAGCCTCAGATCGAATTGTTCTCACTGGAGGTCAAGAAACAGGATGATTAATGACACACACTTAATTACAAGAAACGAACATTTCAACTTTATTCTCAATTTTCCCAATTTGTGAATCTATAACGCGTTTCAACCTTCCTGGTAACGAGATTGAATTTAGATTTCAACACTGTAGCTGAAATTGATTTTTTTTTAAAAAAAATCAAAAAACAATACATCTGCGTCTGTGCAATTTATTGGATTTGTGAAATTGGTGTCCATGGATTATAGGATTTCAAAAAGCAAAAATCTTTCGTGAATAGTTCTACAGTGAAAGACAAGTTGGTATTATTCACCATTCGGTGTAATACAAACTGAATACAAATCATTCGTGGCCGTGCGTGAAACTTTAATGAAAATGTACTGATAAAAAGAAAATCACTTCGGATGAACTTCTACCCAAGATTATATTTTTACTTGAATCCATGAGGTCAAAACAGGGATAGGACGATGCAGGATTTTACTCAATAAGTTCTACTAACTTAATATATGAACTTACCTTGTCTGACATTAACAGGACTGCATGGAGCAGATTGTGTTGCGATCTTTTCAGTCTGAACAGCACGTAGAGTCGGGAATGAAGCATGACGTGCAAGTTTCTCTTTAGTATGAACGAGAGGCAATGCTGTATCCTCAGAATTCCTGGACAATGCAGCAGGCGTAGTGACTATTTTCTGAATACCTTCGTAAAAGAGTTTTGAAGGTATTACGGTTTGATACGATCTGGTGAAAAATACATTCCAACAACTGCTACCAAATAAACTGGCTGAGATTCAAATAATAATAATAATAATAATCCTTGCATTTGATATAGCGCTTTTCACGTCGGGAGGACGTCCCAAAGCGCTTCACAGAACACACTGTAGAGTGAATTGACTGTATATTTGTGGGCGAACGCGGCAGCCAATTGCGCACAGCAATGTCCCACAAACAGTCGTAGATTGAAAATGACCAATTTATTATTGTTTTTGGTTTTGGAGGGATTATTATTAGGCTCTGTGTGGAGTAAGGAAACTTGCCCAAGGTTTCGCCCTCTGCCTGGAATTGAACTCAGGTCTCGCTTGCAAAGCGAGTGCTCTCACCACTGAGCTACAGGACTCCACAAATGATCTGAATTGATTTTTCTCATCTTGAAACAACAAATTCCGTCTGTTTCTCAAAGATTACATTTTCTCCTTTTGGGAAGAATTCCTAGTATGTTAAATTTTTTTGTAAAAGGCTTACTTTTACAAAAGAAGAAGAATAAAACAGTGGATGTGCTGCATACAATTGCTGTAATTTCTCAGTACCAAGACTGCGCCAAATTAAGAGAGATAATAAAATTAGAAAGGAAGGTAGAGGAAAAAAAATCTTTACACACACAGACAATGTTGGAATGTGAAATTCTCCATCACAAATTATCGTTGAAGCAGAATCCATAAATTCTTCTTTTAAAAGGGGATTTGATCGCTGGCTTAAGAGTAGGATCTTTAAAGGGTTTATGGGGAGTGAGCAGGAGCAATGGATTAGATAGACATGCAGCAGGCTGGTTCATTTGGTAGCCAATGTAATGGTTATACATTGTTATTGACTCGTGTGAGGAAAATCACTTTATGCAAACTTTATGGATCAAATGGCCTGTTTCTGTGCAGTAACAATGTACAATTACTACTTTCTGAGGCGGACAGCAGGCCTGGTTTTATCATTAATCATTAGAGAAATTGGCTGTAAAATCGTTATCCTTCACAATATTAATTTATATGGTGCCTTTCACATCAAGGGCATTTCAAAGCGCTTCACACAACTGACTCTTAGCACAAAAGCACAACTGAAAAGATTGATCTCAAGGCAGGATTTGAAAGCTGAGGGGGAAAGCCTTTGTGGTGGAATTCTAAAGAGCAGTGTCGGGTTTATTGCGATAGGTTAAAATTTCAGCAGCCACCCCCCCACCCTATCACATTTTCACATGTAACTACCTCAACTAGCAAACATTACAGTACAAAACGTGTGATAAACCTACCCTCTGACTTATGGGCGTGAATGGGTCCAAGCCATTTAAAGGCAGGTTTTCGGCCCCTCTCTTCGGTTACGTGAACTTTCTTGATGAGTCCCAAGCTGGTCAATACATTGGCAATATCGTACAGTCTGCGGATTTTAGCTGAAGAAAACAAAAATTGGTAAAGCATTAAAATATGGATTGCAAGGCAAAATATCACCAAGGTTCTTTGCAATCAAATGGTGACTATTTTATAAACAGGATTCAGGGAGAAATTCCGGTCCTGTCCAGTCTTTGTCTTTCTTTTATAAATTGTTCAGGAAAGCGTAAGGAAATTTAGTCCGTGTTTAAAGTATATGTCGCCTGAGAGTACTTCTTATTAACAGAATGCTCAAGGTGGGAACATACCTATTCCTGAGGCTCAATATCCCTTCTATTGATTAAAAACAAAAGCAAAAGTAGTGGAGTATTAGTCTACAGCAAACACCACTTACTTTTAAATTTGCTTTGATCTGCAGAATCATGCTGACTTTCTTCAATCAAAATTTTAGCAGCAATATCGAGAGCCACAATATTAGTCTTGGACACGAGGAAAAGCATCACAAACTTTTCACTCATAATGCGCAACGATTTGTCCTTCCTGCTGTTCAGAGACACTAAAAAATGAGATCACAATGAGAAAGGGTCCACAAAACACCAACGGCATCAACAACAACTTGCATTATATAGCGCCCCCTCACACAGGTTAGCGTCCCAGAGAGCTTGACAGTGGCGGAGCATGACACCAAATCGGGGGAGGTGACAGGAGGCAATATCGAAGAGGAAGGTCGTCAGGCACGACCTGAAGATGGGGAAGGATGGGGCGGGGGAGGGGAGGGAAGGTGGAGGGATTGAGGGAGAGTGTTCTAGAGTTTAACTCTGCTCAGCAGCCATCTTACAACAACAACAAGATTACATTTGTATAGCGTCGGGAGGACGTCCCAAGGCGTTGGACAGTGTACAGCATTTCAGACCCGAGCTGGGGTCAGTGGGGGGAGAAGGGGAGGGGGGGGGGGTTCGAAGAGGAGGGTCTTGAGGCATGACGAAGGAGGCGAGGCAGAGTGATTGGGGGATGGAATTCCAGAGGTTGGGGGCAGAGTGGCTGAAGGCTCTCCCGCCAATGGTGGGGCGGGTGGGTCGGGGGATGTGGAGCAGGCCAGAGCCGGCTGAGCGGAGGGAGCGGACGGGTTGGTAGGGGGTTAGGAGGTCACAGAGGTAGGGTGGGGCGAGGCCATGGAGGGCTTTGTAGGCGAAGACCAGGATCTTGAACTGGATCCTCTGAAGGATAGGGAGCCAGTGGAGTTGGGCGAGAATGGGGGAGATGGTGTCACGGAGTTTGGTGCGAGAGAGCACACGGGCTGCAGAGTTCTGGATTACGTGGACACAAGCATGAGATGGGCCACCCAGCTTCAACTCTACTCAACAGCGCTTCAGAAACAATGTCTAGAAAACACACGAGGCTGAATATCCATCAAGGCAGGGATGCGTTTCCACCACATCATCCAATATTTTAAATTAAAACCGAAACGAAGGAAGCCGGTTTGCAATTTCAGATCTTTTCATTAAGACAAGTGAACGTCAAGACAAATTTCGCTGATGTACTTTGCGACAAGCCTTCAAACTAAATGAAAACAATGAAGATAAACGGAAACCAAAAGTGAAAGCTTCAGGATTGATTATCAAATGAAATCAGTTTGATAGTAGTTTTCCCACTTGTTGTGAAATCTGTCCTACCTGATCTGCAATCATTCTCTGCATACTTCATCCTGCCACTGAATTCCTGGGAGCCAGCATGTGCTTTATGAACACCGTTTCTCTTTGGCTCTTCACAGTCAAATTCAACATCGAGTTCCTTGTGTCGAATGCAGACCATCTGCTCTGCGTACCTGTGCTGCTCTCCCCTCCTTTTCAAGGCAGCGAGAGTGTGTGAGAGATTGTGAAGCCCGTGCCAGGAGTACTGGTTCTTGGCCATACGACTGACGAGATGAAGAGATTCCAGGACATTTACTATGTCATAAATACGCCTGCGTTCTACTCCTGTCAAAAAAGGGAAAAGTCAGGTCTGTGTTAAACAACAACAGCTTCTACACCGGGGCTTTGAGCTCACGATCAAGACGGATAGTCCAGTTGAGTAACGAATTGTCAGAGATGCGACTTAAACTGAGTTGCTTTAAAGATCCCGTGATACTATTCAACAACAAATTACATTTTTATAGCGCTTTTCACATCGGAAAGACGTCCCAGAGCGCTGGACAATCAGGGGTTTTGGACCCTTTTCTATTCAGAAAGGGAAAGCAATTCATTTTTCCTGGTGTTCTGGCCAACAATCCCCCGGATAAAATTGCTCATTCACTTCATGGCAGTTTGTGAACCTGCTGTGCGTAAATTGACAGTGGCGATTGCCGAGAACACAATTTAAATTCTCATGAGGAAAAAGGCTGCCAATTTGGAATAAATTCATTAAAAAAAAATCTGTATTAAATATACAACTCATCACATCAAGATATCTCAAGCGCTAAACAAAATTCATCAAGAAACCCATTATTGTGTCGCTCGGTTTCTTTTTACTCACTAAGTTCTGTTGCCACTTCATCCAAAGAAATTTCGGTTTTCTCAGTGGAAGTGGGATAATCAGGATAGCGTGCAAGGAATTTCTGACATAAAAGCCCCAGACTTTTCTGTTTCCTGCTCGGGCGTTGTGGCTCAAATTCATCTGCTGTCCCATCACCCACCACACCGAACTTAAAAGAAACATGTAAAGAGATCACAGTTTTAAGATTTTTACTTCTCCAAAATACTTTTTTAAAAAATTTTCAATACTATCAGCCTCTTGCATTCATAAGATACAAGATTTAGCAGAAATGTTTTTAAGATTGCAAAGGTTCCAGATAATGTAGACTATGATAAGCTGTTTTATCTTGTACTGAGCAGTAGAACCAGAGGATACAGCCTGCGATCATTTCCTGAACTCCTGTACATTGGCATGTAACGAATGGAAGAGAGAATAAAAATAAGCCTTTTTTTAATAAAAAGTGACTTAAGCATTATCAGGACTGAGGCCAAAATTCTCCACATCTCTGTTTTCCAACAGCAATCAGACAGCTGACTGTCTTAGTCTGAATATGGCAAGTGGAGTGCACTGTATGGGCGGAGAGGGGGGTTGTTTAAGATTTACATGATGAAAGGAGAATGAACCGAACCACCAACAAACTTGAAAACAAAACGCACGATTTTCACACCTGAATAACATCGCTGATGCTTTCTACCCTCTCGTTTTCAATTTGTCGAAATAGTTCTTTTTTCTTTTCTCGGTCCCGAATATCAGGGCTGGCGGCGCTGATCAGCATCTTCAGGTTTGCCGTGGGCGTCCAGGGATCAGACTGGGACTTGTCCATGTGCTTATTAGGGGTCATCTGAATATGATCTGGAGTACAGGCTTTCCTCTTCGAAACAGCAGTCGGTGTCAATTCAGCTTTCACTGGTGTCCTTGGCAATGTCCTGCTTGGCTCCATGAACATGTTTTCCTAACAAAACCAAATGTGCATTCAGCGAATTAACCCTCCTCCAAAAAGACAAACACGGGGCTTAGAGAAGGAAGTCAATCAACTCAATTTAATTTGCGATGAATCTCAGATGAAGTATTAATGAGGTTGACAATTTTAGGCACAACACAATATTGAAATACTACCATTAATACTTCTCAAATTGGTTACCCCTTTATCCCTGTCGCAGATAAATTTCGTGAGTCACTTCACGGCCGTTTGTGGGACATTTCTAGGTGTAAATTAGCTGCTACATTCACCACAAAACGCACACAGTGACTCAATTTTACAGTCTATCCTGTGAAGCACTTTGAGACATTCTCCAGACAGGAAAGGCACTATATCAAATTATTAAGTTCAGTAAATCCTGTGACGTGCTTTGATAACATGCTGTACACAAATGCAAAGATTATTATCACATTGTCTTTTCGAGCGCGAGACATTTTTCTGGTTCTCTCTTGTCAATTTCTACCCAATCTTCATTTGATCCTTTGACCTTCGGAGGTTCCTGATCAACCCCTGATTATCGAAGTTTGTGGAACAAATTAGGGAGAGGTTGTGACAATTGTTTTCCGGTATTTAATTACTGTATTTATTACAGTGTGTTTTTTCTCAATGAACAGCTTCTGCAGTCCCAGGGGAACAAGTACATTTTCTTCCGACGCCTGATTAAATATGAAGTGAATGGGCCTGGCTTACAATTCATGTTGTAGATAGCTCACTGACATGTTGTCGTAAAATATTTATATAGCAATTTTAAAATTGCTTGTCATTCATCATGACAACCCTTAAAACGAGGCATCACAACAATGTACAATACAATTTACATTTATAGAGCGCTTTTCACGTCCGGAAGATGTCTCAAAGAGCTTGACACTGTTGGGTGGGCACCCGAGCTGAGGATGGGAGCCGAGATGATCGAAAGCACAATCAACAACAACTTTGCCACCTTCACACGGGTAGAATCTCGGCGCGCTTAATCGATCAAAGAGATGCGGGCCTTGAGCATGAGGACACTCGGAGCGAGTCGGTGGGGCTCTGGGAAAGGCTTCCAGAGAGCAAAGGCAGAATGGTGAAAGCTTGCGTCCCCCTTCTCCCGCCCCCCCCCCCCCCCCCACTGATAGTGAGTAGTGAGGGGCACAGGGCAAGTGGCAGGAGGCAGGTGAACGAGGTGAAGGGAGTGGATGACACCAGGATAACGTCATTGTGCGATACATGTAAAAGGTACTTTTTTGCAGCACATCACCAGTTAATACAGGTATAAACTGCTATACTATCAATGATGACATGACGCATCTAACAGTTACAAAGTGACGAGCTCATCTACCTCTTGCAAAACAACTGAAATAATGGTAAATGACACAATAACGACTTAATCGCTTCAATTTAAAACATCCCATTTGATTCTTGGCCAAACTGTGCAACCCGGTTTCTGTTAGTTTAACATAACACATTAAAACAAAAACCTGTTATACAATAAAATATACATTATACCGGTTGCAAATTTTAAGTAAAGGCACTTTTTTTTTTTTAAAAAGGTTTCATTGCTTTGCTACTCTTTCTTTACAAATCCGGTGGTGCGGCACCCGAACGCGTAGAGAGAATTTCTCCTTTCCGACTTGCGACAGCGGAAATCGATCGAACTGTTAAAAAGTTACCTTCTGTGCAATTTTGCTTTCATCCTTCAGGACGTCTGGAGGGAAATCGGATCTGTTTTTCCGTGCGCTCAAGTCTTTTAGTTTCAAGCACTCCATCTTCGCCGCCTAAGGAATGAAAGGGATTAAAGTGAGAGCTGGCCACGCTCATCGTAATTTGCAACTCATGCTATGAAACATTAAGTGGAGTCCTGTTGCTCAGCGGTTAGAGCACTCGCTTTGCAAGTGAGAGACCTGAGTTCAATTCCAGGCAGAGGGCGAAACCTCGGGCAAGTTTCCTTACTCCACACACCTGATAATATTCCCTCCAAAACCAAAAAACAATAATAAATTGGTCATTTTCAATCTACGACTGTTTGTGGGACATTGCTGTGCGCAATTGGCTGCCGCGTTCGCCCACAAATATACAGTCAATTCACTTGACAGTATGTTCTGTGAAGCGCTTTGGGACGTCCTCCCGACGTGAAAAGCGCTATATCAAATGCAAGGATTATTATTATTATTAAGTGGGTTGTCCACTGCATTCCTTTATTGTTTAACATCCTATTGTAGAATATTATAACCGGTGTCAAATGATGGGAAGCAGGAACGTATTTCAACAAAGTATTTGTGTCGCCTGCCGGGTCCTCGCTCGGTTTGGGTTACCTTCTGCGCCGCAACCGCAGGCGATCTCAAACGAACGACTCGCACGAACGAAGGCGCCTCGCAGATGAAGCAGCACGAGACCACCGGCCGACCCCCCCCGGACAGCGCCGACCGAGGGCGATCCTCGTGGAAGCCTTTATCGCGTCCGCCACGCTGACAATCTGCCAGAAAATCAATAAAAAAGCAAAATAAAACACATGAAACTATTAAAGAAAGAAAAGTTGCCCCACAATCACAATCACACACACACACAAAAAAAAGAAACGATTTGGGGGAAACGAGTGGGGAGGGTTTTTGTTTCCCCCTCCACTCTCCCCTCGAAAAACGGGGGACAAGAGTTTTAAAAGGGGTTTTAAAAGGGGGATCTGAGAGGAGTGACCAAATTAAAACACATATAGCAAGTGTTTGGCGCGCGATTGCTCGCGACTCACTGTGTCACAGACACAGACACAGACACGCGTGGATTCACAAGAGTTACCCTCTCACAGTAAAACGGATGGAGATCCCACACCCACGACGAGGATTTTACAGAGCAATTCACGGCGAGAAACAAAAACCACACACACACACACACACACACAGTTATTGATCGACCGATCGATCGATGGATGGATCGATCTATCGATCCGCCCATTTAACCGCCCACCGCCATTGGAAACGGACATCCCGAGGAAAAATCTCTGGCGGACCGACAGGTCCCGGTCGGGAGCTTACCTGCCCCCCCCCCCCCCCCACCCACTCACCCCCACCCACTCACCCCCCCCCCCCCACACCCCCACCCCCCCCCCACTCACCCCCACCCACTCACCCCACCCCCGCGGGTCTTTTTTGTGTACGTGTGCGTGGGGTTTTGGGGGTGAAGTGAAGTCAGTGCCAACTGTTCGGAGGTAACGTCGGGAAAATAGGGGCACAGTCACGGGGTTTGCATCGCTCTGACGGACTGACTGACGGTGACGGTGGCGGTGGGGACCGGACCGGGTCGATAGCTTCAGGATCGGTCTCGGGGAGTGCTGTGGGGTGAGTGCCGGAGCCTCTCTCACTCTCTCTCTCTCTCTCTCTCTCTCACTCTCTCTCTCACACTCACTCTCTCACACTCGGGCTGTGGGCTCTGTGGCTGTGGACGCGCTAATTCAAGGCTTTCTGGCGCGCTCCAACATTCCAATTGAGTTCCGGCCAATCAGCGCCCCGAGCGCCCGCGACACCGCGCGGCCACCGACCAATGGGCGCCCGCGGCCCTCACACCGCTTCCGCGAGGGTTTGGCGCGGAACTGAGCGCCACTGTGTGAGTGCCCTCCACCCCCTCACCCTCACCCTCACCCCCTCCATCACCCTCCACCCCCTCACCTTCACCCCCCTCCATCACCCTCCACCCCCTCACCCTCACCCCCTCCATCACCCTCCACCCCCCCCTCACCCCCTCACCCCCCCCTCACCCCCCTCACCCTCACCCCCCTCCACCCCCCCCTCACCCTCACCCTCACCCCCTCCATCACCCTCCACCCCTCACCCCCCTCACCCTCACCCCCCCTCCACCCCTCACCTTCACCCTCCCCTCACCCCCCCTCACCCTCCCCCTCACCCCCCTCCATCACCCTCCATCCCCTCACCCCCTCACCCCCTCACCCTCACCCCCCCTCACCCCCTCACCCTCAACCCCCCCTCACACCCTCACCCTCACCCCCTCCATCACCCTCACCCCCCCTCACCCTCCACCCCCTCACCCTCACCCCCCCTCACCCTGACCCTCCCCTCACCCTCCAACCCCTCACCCCCCCTCACCCCCTCCACCACCCCCTCACCCCCTCCACCACCCCCTCACCCCCTCACCCTCCCCTCACCCCCTCCATCACCCCCCTCACCCCCTCCATCACCCCCCCTCCCCCCTCCATCACCCTCCACCCCTCACCCCCTCACGCCCTCACCCCCCCCTCACCCCCTCCATCACCCTCCACCCCCTCAAACCCTCCATCACCCCCCACCCCCCCATCACCCTCCACCCCACCCTCACCCACTCCATCACCCTCCACCCCCCTCACCCCCTCCATCACCCTCCACCCCCCTCACCCCTCCATCACCCTCCACCCCCCTCACCTTCCACCCCCTCCCCCCTCCATCACCCCTCCATCACCCTCCACCCCCCTCACCCCCTCCATCACCCCCCTCACCCCCTCCATCACCCTCCCTCCCCCTCACCCCTCCATCACCCCCCTCCACCTCCCCTCCACCCCTCACCTCCCCCCTCCATCACCCCCTCACCTCCCCCTCCACCCCCTCACCTCCCCCCCTCCACCCTCACCCCCTCCACCCCCTCACCTCCCCCCCCGCCATCCCCTCCACCCCCCCTCCCCACCACCCCTCACCCCTCCACCCCTCACCCCCTCCCTCACCCCCTCCACCCCCTCACCTCCCCCACCCTCACCTCCTCCCTCCATCCCCTCCCTCACCCCCCACCCTCACCCCCTCCACCCCTTCCCCCTCCTCCCCCCCACTCCACCCCCCACTCCACCCTCACCCCCTCCACCCTCACCCCTTCCCTCTCCAACCCCTCACCCTCACCCCCTCCCCCCCGCCCCCCGAGCCGATCCCGAGCTGAGCCGCTCCACAACAACAACAACAAAAGGACAAATTAGAGCGGACGAGAAGAGAGTGCGAGAGGAGCAGATGGTGATGAATAAAACGATACAAACGCCCAAAGTCAGAGGCGCGTGTTTTTTCCGCGTAAAAAAAAGAATGAAACCGCTTTTTTGGGGCGTGAGAACCAGATCAGAGAGAGAGAGAGAGAGGGGGGGGGGTGGGGGGTGGGTGCTGGTTGGGGTGGGTGGGGGTTGGGTGGTGGTTGGGGGGTGTGGGGGGTGTGGGTGGGTGCTGGTTGGGGGGGTGTGGGTGGGGGGTGGGTGCTGGTTGGGGGGTGGGGGTGGGTGCTGGTTGGGGGGGTGGGGGTGGGTGCTGGTTGGGGGGGTAAGGGTGGGTGGTGGGTGCTGGTTGGGGGGGTAAGGGTGGGTGATGGGTGCTGGTTGGGGGGGGTAAGGGTGAGGGGTGGGTGCTGGTTGGGGGGATAAGGGTGGGTGGTGGGTGCTGGTTGGGGGGGTGTGGGTGAGGGTGGGTGCTGGTTGGGGGGGTAAGGGTGGGTGGTGGGTGCTGGTTGGGGGGGGTAAGGGTGGGTGGTGGGTGCTGGTTGGGGGGGTAAGGGTGGGTGGTGGGTGCTGGTTGGGGGGGGTAAGGGTGGGTGGTGGGTGCTGGTTGGGGGGGTAAGGGTGGGTGATGGGTGCTGGTTGGGGGGGTAAGGGTGGGTGATGGGTGCTGGTTGGGGGGGTAAAGGTGGGTGATGGGTGCTGGTTGGGGGGGGTAAGGGTGGGGGGTGGGTGCTGGTTGGGGGTTGAAGCGGTGCCTCTCGTGCGGTTAAAGAGACGGATGACCGGGGTGGAAGGATAGACAGACGGAGGCGGTAATTTTGGGGCGAAATTAAAATGAATTCAGCATTTTCTGGTTTCGTTTCATTCAAATAAAAAAAACGGCGGCAACGGCGGCGATATATCAGCAACGGCGGCCCCGTTCGAATATTTTTACGACCGGCGTTAAATACGGTAAAATTCGCAGAGTTATAATAATAATAATAATCCTTGCATTTGATATAGTGCTTTTCACGTCAGGAGGACGTCCCAAAGCGCTTCACAGAACACACTGTAAAGTGAATCGACTGCATATTTGTGGGCGAACGCGGCAGCCAATCGCGCACAGCAATGTCCCACAAACAGTCGTGGATTGAAAATGACCAATTTATTATTGTTTTTTGGGTTTTGGAGGGATTATTATTAGGCTCTGTGTGGAGTAAGGAAACTTGCCCAAGGTTTGGCCCTCTGCCTGGAACTGAACACAGGTCTCTCACTTGCAAAGCGAGTGCTCTAACCACTGAGCTACAGGACTCCACAAGTCCGAACGAGTTCCGAACGAGCCGGATATTTTGAACGCCGAGAGCTGGGGAGACCGGCGAGGAGTGTGTTTTGAGTGCGAGGAGAGCGTTCGCTTTCATCTGACCTTTCAAACCGGATTCCAGCCCAGACTAATGAGATCATTAATCTCGCTGTGCTTGCACTGCACACGTTTCACTAATTTTTTTTTAAAAAAAAACTGGGTGAGCAGGGCCATTTGACAAGAGAATTACCCTCTCTTCGCTGCTGTCAGTCAGTCAGTCAGTCAGTCCCTTTTGATGAGATGGATTCAGTGCTAATGATGCATATTCTGTTTGTCCGGCACACGTGGAAACCGATCGCCGCGCTTCAAACTATCCAAACCAGACAGACAGAGGTCCACGAGTGCATTTTTCCCCACACGTGGAAATCTCCCTGCGTTTGGAAGGGAATGCACTCCGCCTTGAGCGCACCTCGCCGAGCTGGCTTCGAGATGAAATGCTTCGTAATAAAATGTCGCGGAGTCGAGTCGATCCTCTGTGGCAGTCTCACTCGTCTGTTCCTGAGCCGGGTGGGTCAGCAATGACAGATCGATCAGCCTGACTCCTTGGCAGAGCTTGGAGACCACTGAGGGCTCCTTCCTACTCAGCTCCTGTTAACCCTGCAAGACAAAGCTCTAATGGGTAGGGTGGTCCTAGATGCACAAGATCTCAATTGTAAGCTATGTGTTTTTATCTAATTGAGCTTCAGCGGTATCCCATTGCACGCACTTGGATCCCCAAGCCTTGGGTCTTGCCAGACTGTGCTAAATACATTGAGTAATTAGACAGGATACATCCCTCCAGGAAGAGAGTGCACATTCCATTCCAGTTACAGGGAATTTTACACGTTTAAATGACACACATATGTAAATCTCAGTCTGGTTAGGATACTCTTAAGTGAGAGTACGCCCAGCTAACAAAACAAAATGTATGGGACTTGGGTTATCTCTGTGCCTTACATTTTGCCATAGCAATCAAATCCTGTTTTTTTTTTGTTGCCTATTTACTTTGCCCATATCATTTTAAATGCTTCAGATTTAGTACTGGGGAGGCAAATTGGCTCATTGTCTCTGCTGACTCTTTGAAAGAATAACCCATTAAATTTCGTTCACCTATCTTTTCCTCGTTCCACTGATTATTGTTTAGATATTTAATTTCCGCTTGAAAGCTAAAAGCTAATATGGATCCTGCCTTGA